GAAATTATTTTTTATTTTATATATATATTTTTTGATATGGAGTCTCACTCCGTCACCCAGGTTGGAGTGTAGTGGCACGATCTCAGCTCACTGCAACCTCTGCCTCCCAGGTTCGAGTAATTCTCCTGCCTCAGCTTCTAGAATAGCTGGAATTATAGGCGCCCGCCACCATGCCCAGCTAATTTTTGTATTTTTAGTAGAGCCAGGGTTTCATCATGTTGGCCAGACTGGTTTCGAACTCCTGACCTCAAGTGATCCACTTGCCTTTGGATCCGGGATTACAGGCATGAGCCACTGAGCCCAGCTGAGAAGTAGGAAATTATACTCTACAACTCTCTCTCTGTTATCAGAAGTTGGGGAAGCTATGGCTAAGAGCACAACCTTTCTGGTAGGTGGTGAGTGTGGAACATTTTCTTTTCTTTTTTGAGATGCAGTTTTGCCTTTGTTGCCCAGGCTGGAGTGCAATGGCGTGATCTTAGCTCACTGCAACCTCCACCTCCTGAGTTCAAGCAATTCTCCTGTCTCAGCCTCCCGAGTAGCTGGGATTACAGGCATATGCCGCCGTGCCTGGCTAATAGAGACAGGGTTTCACCTGTTGGTCAGGCTGGTCTTGAACTCCTGACCTCAGGTGACCCACCCACCTCAGCCCACCCCAAAGCACTGGGATTACAGGCATGAGCCTTTATTTTCTTTTCTTCTAGATAAGTGGTAGTGTAACATATTCAATTGAAGCAGGTTCAGGGCTGGTGCGTGGGCTATCTCCTGAGGGAGATGGATCTGAATGTTTAACGGTGTGTTGAAATAAGTGTCTTTAAAATGTCATCATTCTGATTTGCTTCTAGATAACAATGCTTAATTTCCTTCAATTAAAAAGGCAACTTAAAGCAGGAGTTCTCAAGGAGGGGTATTTTTACCTCCCCACCCCCACTCCCACCCATTTCCCCACCCCACCTCCTACCTCCCACCCCCACCCCCCACCCCCCTACCTTTCCACCTCCAGCCCCTCCCAGGTTGGTCAACGTCTGGAGCATTTTTGGTTGTCTGGCATTGGGAGACCTGGGTGCTACTGCCACCTACTGGATTTGCTGCAGGTTGTCAGAGATGCTACTCGACATCCTGTAATGGGAAAGACAGTCCCTTTCAGTAATGAATTATCCAGCCTAAAATGTCACTAATACTGACGCTGGAAACCCAGATTTAAAGAACGGTGTGGGATTTTTTTTTTCAAGCCCAAATGAGGCATGGGCTAAACTAAGATAATAAAACCAGGCTGGGCTCGGTGGCTCACACCTGTAATCTCAGCACTTTGGGAGGTAAAAGTGGGAGGATCACTTGAGACCAAGAGTTTGAGATCAGCCTGGACAGCATGTGGAGACTATAGACTCACCTACTTGGGAGGCTGAGGTGGGAGGATCGCTTGAGCCCAGGAAATCAAGGCTACAGTGAGCTATGATTGCACCATTGCACTCCAGCCTGGGCAAAAGAGCCAGACTCTGTTGAAAAAAACAAAAACAAAAACAAAAAACAGGCTCAGTGGCTCCTGGCTCACACCTGTAATCAAAGCACTTTGGGAGGTTGAGATGGGCAGATAACTTGAGGTCAGGAGTTTGAGACCTGCCTGGCCAACATGGTGAAACCCCACCTCTACTAAAAATACAAAAATTAGCTGGGTGTGGTAGCAGGTGCATGTAATCCCAGCTACTTGAGAGGCTGAGGCAGGAGAATTGGTTGAACCTGGGAGGCAGAAGTTACTGTGAGCCAAGACCACACCACCGCACTCCAGCCTTGATGACAGAGCGAGACCCTGACTCAAAGTGAGACCAACTCTAAGGTAGGACTCATGCTCCAATGCTCCGCAGGGATCAGGCTGCAGTCGCTTCCAGCTGAGACCATGACCTTGCCCTCCAACTCCCCAACCCCATCCTGACTCCCTCACTCTTCTGCTCCAAGCAGTCCCTCAATAAATTATGGGCACCGCAATCCTGGTCTCAGGCTCTGCTTTTAGGACACCTGACCTCAATCACTTATTGTCATTTTATAAATTGTAATATTAGTAATAGAATGAGCACAGAGTTGTTGTTACTGGAAACTTAAACAAAAGAGATCTGTTTTGAAGATGCTGAAAATCAGAATCTATTATTTATAAAAGCCATTATTTATAAAACCAAGAGTGGTCACTTCAGGAGACAGAATATCAGAATAGTATTCTGTTACTGGGCAGTAGACAGACGCACTCTCTTTGCTGGATGTATTTGTTTAATAAATATTATTAACCCAATCAGTGACCCCAATATTCTGCCGGTTAGAACTGATGATGGTGGAAAACGGCTTAGAACTGATGGTGGAAAGATTTTCTGTGAGCAAAATTAAGGAAACCTCAAATGACTATATCTCTAATGGCTACTTTTTAAATTATTTCAAATTTTTATCTATTTATTTATTTAAAAACCGGGCTATGAGACTGGCTAATTTTTGTGTTTTTGGTATAGGGTTTTGCTGCATTGCTCAGACTAGTCTTGGACTCCCGGGCTTGAGTCATTCACCTACCTCAGCCTCCCAAAGTGCTAGGATTACAGGCATGAACCACCATGCCCAGCCTCTAATGATTTATTTTTTACAGTTTGGGAAAGTTTTGGCAGCCTTCGTATAGTGATAAATGTTTGTCTTTAATCAAACATTAAGGGGAACATATAAATTTCTTCCCACTTGTAATCTAATTTTAAAGGCACATAGTTGAGTGTTAAAATTTTAGCTCAAAAATGTTCATTAGAGTGTTGTTTAAAGCGCTGAAAACTTCAAAATGATACAAACTTGGATTAAATATGACACATAAATCCCTAGATTATCATGCAGACTTTCAGAAAAAAGTTTTTAAATATTTGGGGCTAGGTGTCGTGGCTCATGCCTGTAATTCTAACACTTTGAGAGGCTGAAGCAGGAGGACTGCTTGAGCCCAGGAGTTCAAGGCCAACCAGGGTAATATAGTGAGACTAGTTCCCCACCCCAGCTCTATAATTAAAAAAAAATAATAATTAGCCAGCATAGTAGTGGGCACTTGTTGCTCTAGCTACTTGGGAGGCTGAGGTGGGAGGATCACTTGAGTGCAGGAGTTTGAAGCTGTAGTGAGCTATGATTGTGCCAACTATACTGCAACCTGGGCGAAAGAGTGACACCGGTCACTAATGATTGGCCAGGTGCAGTGGTTCATGCCTGTAATCCCAGCACTTTGGGAGGCTGAGGTGGGTGGATCACCTGAGATGAGGCGTTCAAGACCAGCCTGGCCAATACAGTGAAACACCGCCTCTACTGAAAATACAAAAAAAATTAGCTGGGTGTGGTGGTGCATGCCTATAGTCCCAACTACTCAGGAGGCTGAGGTAGGAGAATTGCTTGAATCCAGGAAGTAGAGGTTGTGGTGAGCAGAGACTGCACCACTGCACTCCAGCCTGGGTGACAGAGTGAGACTCGTCTCAAAAAAAAAAAAAGAAGAAGAAGAAGAAGAAAGAAAAAGAAAGATGTAAAGTGGCAGGATGAAATTTTTAAAAGACCAAACTATATGCTACCTACAAGAGACTCACCTCACTGTTAAACAGACTGAAAGTGAAGGAATGGATAAAGATACATCATGCAAAGAGAAACCAGAAGTGAGCAGGGGTAGTCATATGTATACCAGATAAAATTGATGACAAGTCAAAAACTCTAACAAAAAGAATCAAAGAAGACCATTACATAATGATATGGCAGTTCAACAAGAGGCTTTAACCATCATCAGCATATATACACCCAATGCCAAAGCATCCAAATATATAAAGCAAATGTTATTATTTCTAAGGGACAGATAGACTCCAAAATTCAATTCTCACAGGGGACTTCAACATTCCAATTTCAAAAATAGACAGATCGTCTAGACGAGAAATGAACAAATCAACATTGACTTAAACTATTCCATAGACCAAAAGGGTCTAGCACACATTTACAGAACATTCCAACCAACCATTGAAGAATAGACTTTCTTCTCCACTACACATAGAACGTTTTCTAGGCTAGATCGTGTTAGGCCACGAAACAAGTCTTAACATATTTAAGAAGATAGAGATCATATAAAGTATGGATATGACCACAATGGAATAAAAATAAAAATCAATGACAACAAAAACCTTGGAAAACTTATAGCTATGTGGAAATTAGACCTTATCCTCCTAAATAACCAATGGTTCAATGAAGAAATTAAAAGGGAAACTTAAAAATACCCTGAGACAAATGAAAATGGAAATACATCATACAAACTTCCGTAATACACAGCAAAAGGAAAGCTCATAGCAATGAACACCTACCTCAAAAAGAAAAAAGGTTTCTAACAAACAACCCAACTATGCACCCCAAGGAATTAGAAGCACACAGCTAACCCGAAATTGGTAAAAGGAAGGAAGTGATAAGACTCGGGGCATAAATAAACAAAATACAGACTAAAAAGCAATTCAAAAGATCAATAAAGACTTGGTGTTTTGAAAAGATAAATAAAATTGACAAACCTTTAGCTAGACTAAGAAAATAGGGAAAATATCCAAATAAGTGAAATCGACACAATATTATTAACTAAAGTTCGTATGCTGTACATTAGATTTCTAAACTTATTTTTCCTACATAACTGCAACCATGTGCCCTTTGACCTACTTCTCTCCGTTTCTCCTTCACCTCATCCTTATTCCTAGTATTCCATTATTCTATTCTTTGTTTCTGCGTGTTTGATTTTCTCAGATTTCATATATGAGATTATGCGGTATTTGTCCTTCTGCGCCTGGCTTATTTCATTTAGCATGATGTCCTCTAGGTTCCTTTTTGTTGTTGGAAATGTCAGGAATCTCTTTTCGTTACACCAAATCCTATTTTTTAATGATTCTTCCTTTCAGTCCAATTTGAAACTGTTATTGATGAGTTTACTTCCATCAAAACCAGTAAAGTAAAATTTTAATAATTCTAGTCTGGGGACACACACTCACCTCGGCCGCAGCGCTGCTGGCTCCCGCGGGCCGCGCGCTCCAACTTCAGCCCGTGGGACTAGCACGCGCGCGCGACCCACGCGGACTCCAACGCCCCTGGGTTGCGCCCCACTTCTCTACTAGCCTGCCCCAGCCTTCTGCGCACAACCCAGGCGAGTTTCAGCCGCCAGCTGCGCGCCTCGCCAGGCGCTGCGCTCACGTCAGACGGTCTCCGGCCGCTGCCCGCGCTCCCCCGGCGGCTTTCAGAATTCCCGCCAAAGCTTCTCCGCCAGGGGACACGCCCACGTCGGCGTAACGTCGCCCCGCCTCCCGGATCCGCCTTCTCACCGCTTCCGCCCTGCGCGCCAGGCCGAGACTCGAGCGCGAGAGCTTGATCCTGCACGAGGTTACGGACCGCCTTCTCTGGCCACATTTTTATCGTCTCCTTTTTACCTCTGGCGGAGACGTATGAGACCACAGGGGTAAAAAGAAAAATGTACGAAGTGTAGCTTCTGGGTAGCAAGAAAAAAAAAACCAAGTGTGGAGGTCACACCTTTATCCACCTACTTTAGAAATGTAGAGCTTCTTAAGGCGACTATTCCAGACCGACATGCAACACCGTTGTACAGACATAGCCTTGTTGAGCAAGCCTTCTGTCAGGAAAAAACTTTATTCAAGTGATACAGAATTTATTATCCTGGTAGCTCAGAAGAAATTGAAACCAAAGTAATTTCTTTTTGCATTCCAAATTGTTGCAGTCCAGTGCAGGATGTTTTTTTTGTTTTGTTTTGTTTTTGAGACAGAGTTTCGCTGTTGTTACCCAGGCTGGAGTGCAATGGCGCGATCTCGGCTCACCGCAACCTCCGCCTCCTGGGTTCAGGCAATTCTCCTGCCTCAGCCTCCTGAGTAGCTGGGATTACAGGCACGCACCACCATGCCCAGCTAATTTTTTGTATCTTTAGTAGAGACGGGGTTTCACCATGTTGACCAGGATGGTCTCGATCTCTTGACCTCGTGATCCACCCGCCTCGGCCTCCCAAAGTGCTGGGATTACAGGCGTGAGCCACCGCGCCCGGCCTTCAATGCAGGATGTTGATGGTACTTTGGTGGTTTTGTCCATCAGCAGTGGCTACAAATAAATGCTTCGTAACAAACCCCTCCTGAAACTCAGTGTCTGAAAACAGTGATACTTTCTTGCTGCTCCTGAGTCTGTTTATGGGTTGTCCCATCTAACATTTCTACGATGAAACTTCCGCTCACTTCTTGGTGGCTGCCTAATTCTCCTGATCATCACAGGATTACTTTTGGCCTACGCTACACATCAGAAACCTCAACTGCAGTCTCTTCAGTCGCCTCTATCAGCCGAGATGTAAACTATGCTATTTTATTTTTCATCGGCCTCTTATCTTGCACGTTGGCCGAGGCTTGTGCTACGGGGTCATTTATATTCCTAGAAACCTGAAATATTGGCATTATCCTCCTACTCACGACTATAGCAACAGCATTCGTAGGCCACATACTCTCATGAGGCCAAGTATCATTCTGAGGTGCTACAGTTATTACAAATCTACCATCAGCCATCCCATATATTGGAACTGACCTTGTAGAATAAATCTGAGGTGGATTCTCAGTTGACAAAGCCACCGTCACACGATTCTTGGCCATGCATTTCATCTTACCCTTCATCATGACAGCTCTAGCAACTGCTCACCTTTGATTCTCACAGGAAACAGTATCTAACCACCCTTCAGGGGTTTCATCAGACCCCAACAAAATCACTTTCCACTCCTTCTATACAACCAAAGGTAGTCTAGGTGTAATTTTTCTCCTCCTCCTTCTAATAGGACTCCTGCTTATTGTGACTATTATATGGCCCAGGTCTGCTGATGTTGGCTGAGCTCTCTCCTGTGACAGAGGCAGCAAGTTGGCATGGTGGCCAACTGGGGACTGCAGGATGAAAGTTGCCCGGGTGCCAAGGCAAGAGACTAAAGGCACAATCTGTCCCAGTATAGTAAATAACTGATTATTTAGTTTTAGCAATGATACCAAGTATATTTAGAAACAATCACATAATCAATTATATAATCAATCTTATTAAATCGTTATTCTTTATTAATCTTTGCTTTAGTATTACAGCATAGAATCACTTTAGTCTTACAGTGTAGACATAATCGGGTGAAGTACAGTTAGGAACTGAAGGGACATTGTGAGAAGTGATCAGGAGGTGAGAGAGAGCCTTGCAGTAGCGCCAGTGCCCGGGAAGGCACCCGTTACTTAGCAGGCTGTGAAGGGGTTTCCCTTTCACTGGGGGAGTTCAGAGAACACTCTGCTCTGCTCTGCTCAGCTCTCGAGGAAGGCCTGACATTAGCGGGGCCGGCTGGCAGACATCCAGGGGCTTAAATGCCTCTCTGTGGTGCTGTGCTCCCGACGGTCACCATCCTTATCCACTTTCATGTGCTGCTTTCCCAGGTGGAGCTTCTTTTAAGTTCTTAGAAGTTGTGAGAAGTAAAAACAGAGGAATCCTAAAAGCCTTTGATCTTTCTGATAAGTGCATAGAAAGATGCTGACAGATGTGTCTCCCCTCCTTGCAGCGGCTACCTGAAAGGGAGGGGCCCCCTGTACTGGAAGCACGTGATTTGCTTGACCCTGTCAATCATGTCAGATGAGTCACTCTCCTTACCCTGCTCCCCGCCCCCGCCCGGCCTTGTATACAATAAGTATCCGCGCATCCAGGAATTCATGGCCGCTACTGGACTCCCGCACCTTGGTAGTAGTGGTCCCCCAGGCCCAGCTAAATTCTTCTCTTACCTCTGAGTCTTGTGTCTTTCTTTCCTGCAATCTATCATCTCCACACAGAAAAGAACACCCACTAGACCCTGCGGGGCTGGACCCTGCAGGGGACAACCTTCACTGGTGTCACTGCGGTGACTTAGCTTCATCCTGTGTTTCTCATGTGTCTTACCCAAGCAGGTAAGCTTGGGCATGTTCTCATGGCGGGGGTACGGAAGCAAGGCGAGGAAGTCTAATCATGTAACTGGCAAGAAGGTTGACACACACAATTTTGAAACTTACATTCGAGTCACATTTCCTAACATTCTATTGGCTCAAGCAACTCTCAAGTCCGGCCCCAGAGTCAGACAAGGAGAGAGTTACAAAGTCACAGGAAAGGGATGTGGATAGATGGAGACCACTACTGGGGCCACTGATGCCATTGACCTATGACAATGGCCATGGGTAGGAGCAGTGCCATCTCTTGCTTCCATATCTCTCAGAACTATCACCTCTGTATTGAGCACTCTGGAGAAGCCAGGCATTGAAGACTAATTTATCATGGGTGAACTCTTGTTCATAAATATGTGTCCCACCTCCCAAGTTAGGCTGGCAAGGACAGCAAAGACAGAGCCTCCATCAGCTGAGTTTAATGTTGTCAACAAAGTGTCCAGTGCACAATATTTCTGAGCTAATTGAACCCTAAGTGCTTAGGTGACTCAGTAAATATGTAGTCTAGTCTCTGTGCCCCTAAACCAAGTATTCCCGGCATGACAGGAAGAGAAAAGGGGAAACAAGGCATCTCGAGAAGGAGCTTTATTATCAAGAGCTCAAAACCCAGCTGAATGACTTATGTGGCTGTGTGATCCTGGGGTAGTCACTTAACCTCTCTGAGCTTCAGTTCTCTTGCCTGCAAAATGAAGAGTAATCATTCATCCATTCATTCATTCATTCATTCAACATTTTTATTGAGGATCTACTTAATGGAAATCCCTGTCCTTATGTAGCTCACAATCTACGTTGGAGACACCCAAGAAAAAGGGAAATTATAATACCGGGTGAGAAAGTATGAAGCTCTTTGGCACATACAGACATGACACCAAATTCTACTGTAGGAGATTTGAAGAATGCTTCCCAGCAGAGGGGATATCTACACTGCAGCTTAAAGAGACAGCAGACATCAGTTGAGTTTTGAGGGAATTTATTCTAAGATAAGGGGCAAAGAGCCAAAGTCAAGAGGAAGACATTTTTCTCTCTGGTTTTAAAAGAAAAGTTTTGCTGTCGGGATGGAAAACAAAAGAATGTTCTACAATACTGCTTTTCAAACACCCATGGTTATACTCATCCTCTGGGGATTTGGTTCACATGCAAGTTTGATCCTGGAGGTCTGGAGTGGGGTCTAAGATTCTTCTTTGCTTTTCTAACAAGCTCTCAGGTGATGCTGATTGGTCCAGGGACCACACTTTGGATTGGGAGGTTTTAGAGTGTCCATAGAAGTGAAGATATCTACATTTAAACTATCATCTTTTCTTCCAAGCTCAAGAATTTAAGGTTGGTGGCCAGGCGTGGTGGCTCACACCTGTAATCCCAGCACTTTGTGGGGCTGAGGCAGGTGGAACATCTGAGGTCAGGAGATCAAGACCAGCCTGGCCAATGTGGTAAAACTCCATCTCTACTAGAAATACAAAAATTAGCCAGGCATGGTGGTGCACACCTGCAGTCCGAGCTACTTGGGAGGCTGGGGCAGGAGAATTGCTTGCACCCAGGAGGCCAAGGTTGCAGTGAGCCAAGACCATGCCACTGCACTCTGACCTGGGCAACAGAATGAGACTTTGTCTCGAAAAAAAAAAAAAAAATTTAAGGATGGATAGTGATAACTGTGAGCACAGCAAATTCCAGCCAAGTCATTGGAAAGTTTCTTGAAAGAAGGGAGTTGGCTGGGCATGGTGGCTTACACTTATAATCCCAGCACTTTGGGAGGCTGAGGGGGGTGGATCATCTGAGGTCAGTAGTTTAAGACCAGCCTGGCCAACATGGTGAAACTCCATCTTTACTAAAAATACAAAAATTATCCAGGTGTGGTGACGGGTGCCAGCAGTCCCAGCTACGTGGGAGGCTAAGGCAGAAGAATCACTTGTACCCAGGAGGGAGACAGAGGTGGCAGTGAGCTGAGATCATGCCACTGCACTCTGGCCTGGGTAACAGAATGAGACTCTGTCTCAAAAAAAAAAAAAAAAAGATATTTAAGGATGGGTAGCGATAATTGTGAGCAGAGCAATCCTAGCAAAGTCGTTGAAAAGTTTCTAGAAAGCAGGGAGGTCGGCCGGGTGCACATTTGTAATCCCAGCACTTTGGGAGGCTGAGGCAGGTGGATTACGAGGTCAGAAGTTCAAGACCAGCCTGGCCAACACAGTAGATACCCTGTCTCTACTAAAAATACAAAAATTAGCTGGGCGTGGTGGTGGGCACCTGTAATTTCAACTATTCAGGAGGCTGAGGCAGGAGAATCACTTGACCCAGGAGGTGGAGGTTGCAGAGAGCCAAGATCTTGGACAGAACTAGACAACACCGTCTCCAAAAAAAAAAAGAAAGAAAGAAAGAAGGGAGGTCTAGGTTACCTAAAAGATCCCAGGAAACCAAAGCAATTTTCAAAGAGTATTGTCATCAAGTGCTTCAATCCTCCAGGAAGTGCTAGAATTCTGCTGCTGCATCAAACGCCTCCCTACTTACCAACACCGCTCTTCTAAGTGTTTGTGCCAAAGTAGCTTCTCTATGTGCCGTATTGGTTCATTGGGACTCTCATTACAGTTTTACTGACCATTTCTTTAAAATCACAAAGAGTCTTTGTCCTAGGGTAAATCAGTAAGACAGACGACAAATCATTTATGGAGAGGCCCTCTGTGTCAGGTGCTGGAGGGCCCGCTTAGAAACACGCACCAAGAAGGGTAGGATAAAGGAAAATGCCGGCCAAGTGTTCTTTGTCATGCCATTGAATTGCGGTCAGCTCTCAAAAACTCTTGAATTCAACAAGTTGCAGAGCACAGAAGATAAAACGGTGATTTAGAGCAGAAATCCCTGATTCTCATCAGGGCACACAACCGTGGGAGGACGGCTGCAAACATTCTTCCCCAGAGAGTTCTGGGGCAGGTGGGATCCTCATTTCCGTGTTAAGCTGTGAAGAGAAGATTTCGGGGTAGGCTCCTGTAGGAAACTAGTATCCTCAACTGTTGCCCCATAGCACATTTGAAAACAAGAAAGGACTTTACCCCTGTGAGAGAGAAAAGAATTTCCTCAGAGTCTACAGCAGAATTAATACAAATGTGATTCCAAGGATCGTATCTACAGGGGCAGGAATATTAAAATAATACAGTAACAAAGACTAGAAGGGGGCTGGGTACAGTGGCTCACACCTGTAATCCCAGCATTTTGGCAGGCCAAGGTAGGTGGATCACCTGAGGTCAGGAGTTCCAGACCAGCCTAACCAACATGGTGAAACCCCCCCGTCTGGACAAAAATACAAAAATTAGCTGGGCATGGTAGTATGTGTCTGTAATACCAGCTACTCAGGAGACTGAGGCCGGAGAATCACTTGAACCTGGAAGACGGAGGTTGTGGTGAACCGATATCAAGCCACTGCACTCCAGCCTGGGCGACAGAGCAAGACTCTGTCTTAAAAAAAAAAAAAAAAAGAAAAGAAAAGAAAGAAAAAAGAAAAATTAGCACTGAGACAAAGGATCTTTTAACATCCATTTCAAACACAAGGACAGTTGGAAAACCCAAAAACCATTCTCAACCTCCTCAGCATAGATAGTGCCCACTCTGGACTTTAGAAAGCCAAGACAGCTGTTGGTTATTGCAACCATGAAAATAATACAATAAAATGTCAGCATGCACCAGACGTGGTGGCTCATGCCTGGAATCCCAGCACTTTGGGAGGCCAAGGTGGGGGGATCTCCTGAGACTGGGAGTTCAAGATCAGCCTGGCCAACATGGAGAAACCCCATCTCTACTAAAAATACAAAATTAGCAAAGCATGGTGACACATGCCTGTAATCCCAGCTACCCAGGAGGCTGAGGCAGGAGAATCACTTGAACCTGGGAGGTGGAGGTTGTGGTGAGCTGAGATCGCACCACTGCACTCCAGCCTGGGTGACAAGAGTGAAACTCCATCTCACCAAAAGAAAGAAAAAAGTCAACATGCTGATGGTGGAATGAAAAACTAAGGAAAACCTAGATTCTTAATTCAGACCTTTTACAACACCAGGAAGCATAGAACCAGCAAAACCAGCTATATCAGCAACACCTAACTCTGGACTTCTCGTCTTGCAAGGAAAATCATTCCCTATTTAATTAAACCACTGGATCTAAGGTACTTGCATCCAGAAATGTTACTAAGTGGGATCTTTATGGGGTGGGATAATGGGAAAGTTTAGTTTTATTTGTTTTCAATGCTTAAAACTATTTTCTAAAATGTTCTATACCTATACTGTCTTCTTTATTAAAAATAAACTGTATTATGTTAAAAAACTTATTGCCAAGAGAATATTTCATCCATGATTTGGACAATTTTTCCAGTAGGTTATTCTTGTGTCTCATTCTGAAACCACCGAACTTGTCACATTCAGTTAATTCATAATGGAAATAGTCCAATGATATCTCCCCTGCTGGACTTTTGCAAGACTTAACACTGAGATCTTGCTACGTTCTAGGCACTTTTCCAACCTCGTTGCATACTAGTTCATCTAATATTTAGTATAACTGCCAGGTGGGATGGCTCACACCTGTAATCCCAGCACTTTGGGAGGCTGAGGTGGGAGGATCACCCAAGGTCAGGAGTTCGAGACCAGCCTGACCAACATGGAGAAACCCCGTCTCTACTAAAAATACAAAATTAGCTGCCTATGGTGGCATATACTTGAACCCAGAAGGAGGAGGTTGCAGTGAACTGAGATTACACCATTGCACTCCAGCCTTGAGCAAAACTCTGTTTCAACAAGAGCAAAACTCTGTCTCATAAAAGAAAATTAGTATAACCTTCCAAGGTAAGGATTACCGTTATCCCCATTTTATCAGTGAGGAAACTAAGCTATTGAATTACTATTTACTCAGGAAATATTAACCAAGAACTTACTGTATGCTAGATAGAATTGTTAGGGGCATGAAAAAATTGTTGAAAAAAAATAAGACATTCTAGTGGGAAAACAACTTCCCCTCCATTTGCATATTTATTTTAATATTTCAATATTCCTGAAAATCTACATATATAAGTATCCATAATATATAAATTTTTTCTGTATATAAATATATATGTGAAGATATTTATATTTTGTTTATTTATTTATTTGAGATGGAGTTTTGCTCTTTTTTTTTTTTCAGTTTTATGAGTGTGTATTAGCAAAGTATAGGTAATTAGCATGCCAAACATTCATCACAAGTGATTCATTTGATTTCTTTTATATCACATTTCCTGTCATAAAGCTGCTCTTATGTCTTATTTATTCTTGCAATTTTATTTAGGTAGATAGATGATAGATAGATATTTAGATAGATGTGTGTGTCTGCTAATATACACATATAACTCCCCAGTCTTTAACTGCATACTTTATCCATGAGCTACCTAGGGCAGGCACCCTCAGCTCCCATGTAGTACCCAACGCATGGCAGAGTTGAGTGTCAGTTGGTGGCTGGCACCTCCCCTGACCAGTGCCCACAGGGAGCATGCAGTCTCTCACCGTCTTGGAAGTGGGCAGCATGGACAAGAGCAAGATCCTTGAGGTCTGGGACTCGGAGCTGGGCTTGGTCTTCCCAGTGATCCACTTCTTGTATTCTTCTCGTACCTAGAGAAGGAGACACACCCCCAGATGAAGGGAAATGGTTCAGGGACAGGGATGTTGGGTGGAGGGATGGGGGCGATGGGGAAGGCAGCAGCTACACACCTGGTGGTTGAGCAGACAGTGAATGAGGAAGATGAAGGCCCCCTGCAGGCTGTTGATGATGGTGAACAGGTAGGCCATGACACCTGCCACAGGTCCAAACTGAAAAATGCCCAGCACCCAGGAGCAGCCCAGGATGAAGAGCTGGGCAAAGGCCTTGAAGGTCAGCAATCTAGGGAGATGATGTACAGGGTGTAAGGCTCTGGGAGGTGGCTAGTGTCTTCGTAGGCTGTTAGGAAGAAATGCTAGGTGCTGCAAAGAAGAATCAGCACTGAGATGGCCAGGTGTGGTAGCTCACACCTGTAATCCCAGCACTTTGGGAGGCTGAGGCAGGTGGATCACAAGGTCATGAGTTCAAGACCAGCCGGGCCAAGACAGTGAAATCTCATCTCTATTAAAAATACTAGCCAGGTGTGGTGGCAGGTGCCTATAATCCCAGCTACTGGGGGAGGCTGGGGCAGGGAATTGCTTGAACCCAGGAGGTGGAGGTTGCAGTGATCTGAGATTGTGCCACTGCACTACAGCCTGGTCAAAAAAAAAAAGAATCAGCACTGAGACAAAGGATCTCTCAGCAAGGCAATTTACTTTCTGCAGAAAGCGTACTTCTCATGATGGAGCAATGTCAAGAGCACCCTGAACAAAGGAGGGAAGGAGTTTTTATTTCTAATGCAGCTTGTCTTTGCTACTGTGTCCTGTCTCCATTGGCTGGAGTTAGACTGCACAATCTAAGCTGAGCCTAGTTGACTAATTTGAAAAGTGCAGGAATGTGGTTATACCTGTGGAGAGTGCAGTTTTGGGGGAAGGAGCTGTTGTGACAGGAGAGGTAATCTATACAGTGGGTAGCAGATGTGGAATGTGGTCTCTATAGATAAGGACTGGCAGGAAGTTTGTCTACCAGGCCAGGGGATACAGAGAGTAAGAAAGTCTAGCTTTGAAAGCAGGGAACAAAGAGCAAGGATGCTGAGCAAGTTAACTTTTTGAAGAGAAACTCTTTTTATATCTAACATGGGCCACATTTCCAGGAATGGTCTGAGGCTGCCATTGTGCAATTTGCTACCTGAGTGGGGACAGATATAGGGTGGGATCTCCAAGCCTAGGTGTATGGGAAAATCAAATCCTATAGGTGTTTAAAATGCAATCAGGCTGGGTGCAGAGGCTCACGCCTGTAATCCCAGCACTTTGGGAGGCTGAGGTTGGTGCATCACCTGAGGATAGGAGTTCGAGACCATCCTGGCCAATATGGTGAAACCCTGTCTCTACTGAAAATACAAAAGTTAGCTGGGCATGGTAGTGGGCACCTGTAATCCCAGCTACTTGGGAGGCTGAAGCAGGATAATCACTTGAACCTGGGATGTTAAGGTTGCAGTAAGCTGAGATTGTGCCATTGTACTCCAGCCTGGGTGACAAGAGTGAAACTCGGTCTCAAAGGAAAAAAAAATGCAATCAGCTTCCAATATACATGGATACTGTGCACACACGAATTTGGTGATTTTTTTTTTAAAGACAGTCTTACTCTGTCGCGAGTACAGTGGCGCAATCTTGACTCACTGCAACCTCCGCCTCCTGGGTTCAAGAGATTCTCCTGCCTCAGGCTCCTAAGTAGCTGGGACCAGAGGCACCTGCCACCATGCCCAGCTAATTTTTGTATTTTTAGTAGAGATCAGGTTTCACCATGTTGGCCAGGATGGTCTCGATCTCTTGACTTTGTGATCTGCCCGCCTTGGGCAAAGTGGTGAGATTACAGGCGTGAGCCAATAGTGTGATCTTCTAAACAGACTTCATCATCTCTGTCTCAGGCGTGGGACCCAACACACAAAAAGTGCTCAAAGAACTTTTCTGGGAAGAAGGAAAAGAAAATTGAAAGATGAGGGGAGAGGAAAATGGGCTGCACCTGGTTTCTTTTAGGGTTGAGACTTCGGCATTGACGCTGGAAAGCCTCTGCCTCAGGATCCACAAGGTCCAGGTCAAGAGGATGGAATTAATCTGCAAAGTCAAGCAGCAAGATGGAGAGACTGGAAATACAAATGGGCAACGACTATGAAAGGAGAACTCGGGGCTGGGTGTGGTGGCTCCTGCCTGTCATCCCAGCACTTTGGGAGGCTGAGGCGGGTGGATCACTTGAGGTCAGGAGTTCGACACCAACCTGGCCAACATGGTGAAATCCTGTCTCTACTAAAAACACAAAAATTATCTGAGCACGGTGGCAGGTGCCTACAATCCCAACTACTCAGGAGGCTGAGGCAGGAGAATTGCTTGAACCTGGGAGGCAGAGGTTGCAGTGAGCCAAAATCATGCCACTGCACTCCAGCCTGGGCGACACAGCGAGACTTTGTCTCAAAAAAAAAACAAAAAAAACCAACTCTGACCCACAATCTATAGCAACCAATCTAGAAAGCTAAACAATGACCCCTGTAGCAATTGAACAAGACAACCAGGACCTGGTTAATAACTCCCTACTTTTTGTTCCTGCTTCCAACTTAGGATCTTCCCTAATTTTTGTCCCTACTTCTAACTTACAACCAACATGTAAAAGCCAATATACATCCCTAATCAATGACACAGGATACCCCGCTCCTAGTTAGCCACGTACTGCTTGCCCATCCATGCATGAGCCTCCCATCAGGTCATACCTGTAGCCTTCTCTTTTTTCCTCTACAAACCTTGCCCACTTCTCTACCTGCCTTTGAGTCTGAGCCAATGCAAGTGATGGTAGCTGACTCCCGCATCACTAGACTACAGCAGTCTCTCAATAAACAACCTTTGCTTGTTCTCAATGGGTGGGTCTCTGTTTATTTTCCCAAGGTGCATCCAATGCATTAGGACATAGACTGTGAGCTTGAGTGGAGAGTTTATTATCTTCTAAAACCCTCCCTCAAAAGCATCCCTGACTGAGACATACATACTCCCAGGGCAGGGTCTCTTCACCTGGGCAACACTGACGTGTGGGACAGACCATTCTTGGTGTGTGGGGGCAGCGGGGGGAAGGCGGCTGCCATGTGCACGGTAGAAGGAGCATCCCTGGCTTCTGCACACTAAATGCCAGTAGAATCCGCCTTTTCTATTTGTAACAACCAAAAATGTCTTCAAACATTGCCAACTTCCCCGGAGAGGGAGAACAGTACGAGTGGAGAACCACTGCCCCAGGGGAGTTGTTTTTTTCCAGATCAGTAAAACTTCCAAGAAAGCCCAATGTCCTTGAAGATTTGGGAATGGGTGAGATAAACATTGATGATGATGATGATGATTATTATTATTATTATTATTACTGAGACAGAGTCTTGCTCTTGTCTCCCAGGCTGGAGTGTAATGGTGCGACCCTGGCTCACCGCAACCTCTGCCTCCCAGGTTCAAGTGATTCTCCTGCGTCAGCCTCCCGAGTAGCTGGGATTATAGGCATGTGCCACCACACCCGGCTAATCTTGTATTTTAAGTAGAGACGGGATTACTCCATGTTGATCAGTCTAGTCTCAAACTCCCGACCTCAGGTGATCTGCCTGCCTCGGCCTCCCAAAGTGCTGGGATAACAGGCGTGAGTGAACATGCCACCTTTGTTTTTTTTTTTTTTTTTTTTGAGCCGGAGTCTCACTCTGTTGCCCAGGCTGGAGTGCAATGGTGAAAATTTGGCTCACTGCAACCTCCATGCCTCCTGGGTGCAAGCTATTCTCCTGCCTCAGCCTCCTGAGTAGCTGGAATTACAGATGGTCGCCACCATGCCTGGCTAATTTTTTATATTTTTAGTAGAGATGGGGTTTTGCCAAGGTGGCTGGGCTGGTCTTGAACTCCTGACCTCAGGTGATCTACCCACCTCAGCCTCCCAAATTGCTGGGATTACAGGCATGAGCCACCATGCCTGGCCTAGAAAGGAGAACACTTGAGTGGTATAAGTGAGTCTCTCAGTTGCACATGTCCCTGGAAATTCCTGATCCCACAGTCTCCGTGCCCCTCCTCCAGAACACGCTTCACCAGGCTATTGCAGTATTTGCTTACCATTATGACTGTGCAAACTGGCCCCAAGAAACTCCAGATGAACCCTGCCTCTGTATTCAGCCAGCAGCTATGGAGAGAAATAGGAGGAGTCAGCGCTCTTCTCAGAGTCCTGACCTGACAGTTAGCCCTGTCCCAACGAGTGCCCTCGTGGAGGAGAACGTTGGGAGGTGAGACTCGGAAGATGTTCAGGATGGTTCCGGTTGCAGTTCAGTTTCCTTAGGCCTCAGCGCTTCCTCTTTTAGACCTTCTTCCTGTGCAAATGTACCTTTGGCACAGAAATGTACCTGGGAAATGCTTACCCAGTGCCCAAGGTTGAGCTCATTTCCCAGTTCACTACTTTGTAATCCCCGTTAGGACCAACCGGTAGAAGCCAATATGCACCCCTAACCAATCACACAGGACACCCCCCTCCTAGTCGGCCGCTACAGCTTGCCCATCCATGAGACAGCCTCCAATCAGGTCACACCTGTAGCCTTCTCTTTTTTCCTCTACAAAGCATCTATCCAAACTCTCCACTGGAACACCTTGTCATTTAAACCTCAGCTCAGGCCTGGCATGAGGACTCACACCTGTAATCCCAGCACTTTGGGAGGCCAAAGCTGGTGGATCACCTGAGGTCAGGTGTTCGAGACCTGCCTGGCCAACACGGCAAAACCCCGTATCTACTAAAAATACAACAAATAGCCAGGCGTGGTGGCAGATGCCTGTAACCCCAGCTTCTTGGGAGGCGGAGGCAGGAAAATTGCTTGAAGCCGGGAGGTGGAGGTTGCCGTGAGCTGAGATCACGCCATTGCACTCCAGCCTGGGTGACAAGAGCAAAACTCTGCCTCAGAAATAAATAAATAAATAAATAAATCTCAGTTCAAATGTCACCTCCTCTGAGAAGCCACCCCTGACTGTCCTTAGATAAGGCATCCTATCTCTACTCCTGGTATCCATCTAGCAGAGTTCACTGCATTTTCAAAATAGCAGCGATCACTATCATAAGTCACCTTGCTTAGTTGCGTGCTAGACTAGAGTTGCATGAGAATTTGGGCCTCAGGGGTTTGTGATCTCTGAACACTCAGCACCCAGTGTAAAGCCTAGCATAGACCAGACGTTTCATAATTGTTTATTTAAAGGAAGGGAGGGAGGGAGAGAGGGAGGGAGAGGGAGAGAGGGAGGAAGGGAGGGAGGGAGGGAGGGAGGGAGAGAGGGAGGAAGGGAGGGAGAGAGGGAGGGAGGGAGAGAGGGAGAGAGGGAGGGAGGGAGGGAGGAAGGAGGGAAGTGAGGAAGGGAGGAAGGGAGGAATGAATGGAGGAGAGAGAGAAGGAAGGAGGGAGGGAGAGAGGAGGGGAAGGGAGGAGGAAGGAACAGAGGAGAGAGGAAGAGAGGGAGGGCAGGAGGGAGAACAAAGGGATTGCCTCTTTCTATTATGTCTCTAGTGTACATTAGCTGCTTTTACACAACAACCATTCTGTCATGTTCAATAACAGCACTCCAATATTCCCTTAGCAGAAGTATTCCTCTCCCACCTTCACTCCCACCCCCCATGTCATATACACAAGGAAAGGAAAATAATCAAGTTAGGTCAACCAGATGTCCTCTCCCCAGGATGTAAATCTCAAATAGTAGTGACCCTGGATTTGTGCAGTGCACAACCTGTGTTGCTGTACATGGTGGTCCTGAAACCAACAGTACATAAAGTAAGAGCTTGATAAACGGTAGCCACAACCACTGTTACCATTGTTACTATTCTTATTGCTCATGTCATGATCACCATGAGCCCTGGCAGCAGGGTATTCAGGAAGAGAGAGGATGCCACTCACCGATTATACATTCCATAGCCTTGTGGCTGCACACTGGCAGAGATCACCACCACCAACCCCGGCAGCCCATAACCAAAGACACAGAGGTACGGCATCTTGATGTTGCGAGAGCTGAAGTAATTCACCACCTTCAGGTTTCTGACCATCAGGAAGAGCAACACAGCTTCCACCAGCATCCAGAAGAAGCAAGCAAGGAAAAGGTAGTGCAGGAACCCCGCGATGATGGCGCAGCCCATCTGGAGGGGAGAAGCACGCACATCAGGATCCTTCACTCCAGAGAGAAATTGAGCCGGAGAAAGGAAGAGAGAGACTCCTTGGATGGAAGTTCCCAAAACCTAGTTCATTCATTCATCTCACAAACATGTATAGAGACTCTCAGTGGTTCTTGACCAGAGCCAGCACCGTCTCTTCGTAAGGGGGACTCATCGTCCTGGTTTGTCTGCAACTGAGATTTCTCAAGATGCATGACTTTCAGTTTTAAAACAGGAAGAGTTTTAGGAAAACTGATTGTGGATCACCCTACTTTAGGGAATGGTTGAAAATGGGGAGGGGGCTCAGCAAACTGAGCCTTCCTTGTAAATAAAGTTTTATTGGCTGGGCGTGGTGGCTCACGCTTGTAATCCCAGCCCTTTGGAAGGCCGAGGCAGGCAGATCACTTGGGCCCAGGTGTTTGAGACCAGCCTGGGCAACATGGCGAACCTCCCCCCGCCAACCATATAAAAATGCAAAAATTAGCCAGTCATGGTGGCATATGCCTGTGGTCCCAGCTACTTGGGAGGCAGAGGCAGGAGGATTGTTTGAGCCCAGGAGGCTGTAATGAGCTGTGATTCAGCCACTGCACTCCAGCCTGGGTGACAGAGCAAGACCCTGTCAAAAAGTCAAAAAAGGAAGAGAAGGGAAGAGGAAGGGAGGGGAAGGAAAGGGAAAGGGAGGGGAAGAGAGGAGAAGGGAGGGGAAGGGAAGGGAAGTAGAGATTCTGAGCTGTAGCATTATTGATATTTGTGACATTTTCTTGGGATCATTCTCTGTCATGGGGGTGGGCTGTCTTGTGCTCTACAAGATATTTAGCACCATCTCTAACCTTTACCTACTAGATGCCCATAGCACGCTCCTCCAGTTGTGACAACCAAAATGTCTCTAGACATTGTCAAGTCTCCCCTGCGGGGAATAGCACCCAGGAGAGAACCTCTGGTTTAGAATGCAATAGGAGGGGCCAGGCATGGTGGCTCATGCCAGTAATCCCAGCACTTTGGGAGGCCAAGGCGAGTGGATCACCCGAGGTCAGGAGTTTCAGACCAGCCCGGCCAACGTGGCGAAACCCCATCTCTACTAAAAATAAAAATAAAAAAATTAGTGGGGCGTGATGGCTCATGCCTGTAGTCCCAGCTACTTGGGAGACAGGCAGGAGAATTGCTTGAACCCAGGAGGCGGAGGCTGCAGTGAGATGAGATTGTGCCATTGCACTCCAGCCTGGGCAATAAGAGTGAAACTCTGTCTCAAAAATAGAAACAAAAACAAAAACAAAACAAACAAAAAACAAGTAATGGAGGAAGCACTACAATTCATTACAAGATCAGGGCATAATTTAAACTGAGAGCTGTCACAAGGAGTCAAGCAGGTGAGAAGCTGGAAGTAAGTGTTACAGGCAGAGGGCACAGCATATGCAAAGGACCTGAGGTAGAAACAGGCATGGAGGGAGTTGGGTAGGAATGAGCTGAGGCAGATGGGGAGAAGATGGGGCTCGGTGAGGACACAGCCTGGGCAATGTAGACCTGGTTGTCAGTCTTGTCTATATCGGCGAGGAAGAGAGTCTTGGCCAAGAGGAGGCACACGCAGAGGTGCAGGTGGAGGTAGGTGTTGTGATTTCGGATGGAGCGACACAGCAGAAAGGTGGTGATGGCCAAGATGAGGCACACCAAGGAGATGATGATGCCCACGTGGCTAATGACGTACAAGGAGAACTCCATCTGTCAGGAAGGAATTCCATAGTTGGAATCTGAGAACAGGATCAAAATCCCCCCAGGCGGGGAAAAAGAGTTATCCAAAACCCTCGCTCAGACAAAATTAGCTTGGGGGCCTCTTCTCCCTCTAACACTCAGAGTGAACTAGATCTTGTCTTTCATTATCCTTTGCAATCCACTGGCATCCACCAGCTCCTGTTCCCAGCTGTGTCCTATGCACTACTCCATGTTTTACTGGGGCTGGATGTCCACAAACTACATCTCCCAGAATCCTTTGGAACTAAGGTCCTGGATATAATCTAGGTTCTCCAGTGAGATAGATCTGTGAAAGTTTTGGAATGCAGAAGGGAGGCAAATATCAGCTTTCTGCAGACAGGAGTGAGCTGTGGCTTGATTCCACATTTCAACTGTCCAGTCCCCAGTTTCATGGTGGAGTGGGATGGCAAAATGACAGCAGCAATTTCTGAGTTACAGCTGCATTGGGGGATGACCTTGAAGCCAAAATCCAAGCGGCAGCCCCCTGACTTCAACTCCTCCATCCTCTCCCAGAGATTTTTGTGAGCACCCAATTCCCTGTGTTAAATCCATTTCTGCTTGAAATACCTGGAGTGGTTTTGCTTCCTGTATTGAATCCCAGCTGATAATGGAGACATTCAAGAATGCTCCAACTTTGGGAGTGGAGCATGACACACTAAGTCCTTCTTCTATGCCATTTATTCATAATTAATTTTAAAATGAATTTTAAATGTATCTGAGGGCTTTCTGTGGGTGAAACATATGCTAGGCACCATCTTCTGAGTACCTCTCTATGATACTGTCACAAAGTGGTTAAGAAAACTGACCACTGGCTGGGCACGATGGCTCATGCCGGTAATCCCAGCACTTTGGGAGACCGAAGTGCGTGGAACACCTGAGGTCAGGAGTTCAAGAGCAGCCTGAACAACATGGTAAAACTTCATCTCTACTAAAAATGAAAAAAAAAAGCTGGGCATGGTGATGGTCCCCTGTAATCCCAGCTACTTGGGAGGCTGAGGCAGGAGCACCACTTGAACTTGATTGAGAGGCAGAGGTTGCAGTGAGCTAAGATCAAGATCATGCCATTGCACTCCAGCCTGGAGGATAAGAGTGAAACTCAGTCTCAAAAAAAAAAAAAAAAGAAAGAAAGAAAGGAAGAAAAAGAAAATTGACCAATTTCTAGTTGTGTGAATTTGGACAAGACATTTAACTGCTCTGTGCCTCAGTTTCCTCATCTGTTAAAAAGAGAATATTAATGGCAACTGCCTTAGAGAGTTGTTTTAGGAGGATTAAATGAAAACATTTGAAGTACAGCTTTGGAACCAGACTTCCCCCGATCAGTTCCACCTCCACCAATTTCTAGCTTCATGACGAGACAGGCCACTGACCCGTTGGTCTCCCATCCTGTGAAATGGTCTAAAACCACTTAACTGAAAGAGTCCAGCACACTGTAGGTGCTCATTAAGTAAGATCTGTGAGGGCCAGTTGTGGTGGCTCATGCCTGTAATCCCAGCACTTTGGGAGGCCAAGGTGGGTGAATCACTGGAGGTCAGGAGTTTGAGACCAGCCTGGTCAACCTGGTGAAACTCTGTCTCTACTAAAAATACAAAAATTAGTTGGGCGTGGTGGCAGGGGCCTGTAATCCCAGCTACTCAGGAGGCTGAGGCAGGAGAATCACTTGAACCTGTGAAGTGGAGGTTGCAGTGAGCCAAGATCATGCCATTGCATTCCAGCCTGGGCAACAGAGTGAGACTCTGTCTCAAAAAAAAAAAAAAAAAAGTAAGACCTGTGATTGCTATAGTGCCTGGCCCTATTTAGGGTCATTATTTCTCATTTTATATTTGAGTTTCATGGCTTCCCAATCAGACTGTAAATTTCACAGAGGCAAAGGCATATCACCTACTCCTTCTGTCCCCATGACTCCATCAACACCCAACCCCATGGGAGACACACAACAGTTGTTTAATCAGTATTTTCACATTGGATTTGGAGGCAGATATTCTGCCTCAGGAAACAAATCCTCATTACTGACCGTGAGCTCCCCAGACGCCATGATAATGGCAAGATTTGCCAAGTGATTGCAGCTGCAGATGGTATGCACCTCAGAAGCTTCCAGGACCACACAGCCAGAGGGTGTCCATCTCCCACCCTCCACATCTGTCCTCCAGGAAACGCAGATGGGCCTCTCAAACTTCTGCTTTGGCTGAAGAAAAAAAAAAGGCCCAGGTCACCTGTGAATCCCCCTCAAATGGATTAACTGTGACCATCCTCAAGAATCACTAGGGACAAGAATACACAGGGTATGTTCTGAGGGAATGGGACAAAAAATATTTCATTATGGAATGAGGGATAGTATGATGAGGCGGCTTACGTTCCTGTTGTTAGAAGAAACTCCTCCTTTCACCAAATCCATAATAAGGCCTTCTGCAAAGTCATTCATTTATTCACTTATTCATTCAGTGTGTGGGGTTTGCGTGTGTGTGTGTGACAGTTTCGCTCTGTCTCCCAGGCTGGAGTGCCATGGTGCAGTCTCCACTTACTACAACTTCTGCCTCAAAGGTTCAAGCAATTCTTCTGCCTCAGCCTCCTGAGTAGCCAGGGTTACAAGTGCCTACCACCATGCTTGGCTAATTTTTGTATATTTAGTAGAGATGGGGTTTCCCCATGTTGGCCAGACCAGTCTTGAATGCCTGACATCAAGTGATTCACCTGCCTCAGCCTTCCAAAGTTCCAGGATTACAGGCATGCATCACCACACCCAGCTAATTTTTGTCGTTTTTAGTAGAGACAGGGTTTCTCCATGTTAGCCAGGCTGGTCTCGAACTCCTGGCTTCAAGTGATCCGCCCATCTAGGCCTCCCAAAGTGTTGGGATTACAGGCATGAACCACCATCCCAGCCTTGTTCAATGCGTTTTTATTGAATATCTATTGCATGCCTTGATCTGTACTGATTATGGGAGACATTAGTAAATAAAATAGACATAAAATTCTTCCCCCAAAGAGATCATAGTGCAGTGGGAAGAAAAACATATAAAAACCAAGTAAGCAGATAAATTTTTTTTTTTTGAGATGGAGTTTCGCTCTTGTTACCCAGGCTGGAGTACAATGGCGCGATCTTGGCTCACCGCAACCTCCACCTCCTGGGTTCAGGCAATTCTCCTGCCTCAACCTCCTGAGTAGCTGGGATAACAGGCACACGCCACCAGGCCCAGCTAATTTTTCTTATATATTTAGTAGAGACGGGCTTTCACCATGTTGACCTGGATGGTCTCGATCTTGACCTTGTGATCCACCCACCTCGGCCTCCCAAAGGCAGAAATATTTTTAGTAACAGTTTAAGAACAACAATATGCTTTAAGACTGTATACTAGAGGCTGGGTGTGGTGATTCATGCCTGCCATCCCAGAACTTTGGGAGGCTGAGGCAGCCAGATCACCTGCGGTCAGGAGTTCGAGACTAGCCTGGCCAACAGGGTAAAACCCCATCTTTACTAAAAATACAAACATTAGTCTGGCATGGTGGTGGGCGCCTGTAGTCCCAGCTACTAGGAGGCTGAGGCAGGAGAATCACTTGAACCAGAGAGGCAGAAATTGCAGTGAATCGAGATTACACCATGGCACTCCAGCCTGGGCAATAAGAGTGAAACTCCATCTCTGAAGAAGAAGGAGAAGGAGGAAAGAAGAGGAGGAGGAGGAAGAGGAGGAGCGAATACTACATAGCAGAATCCAGGATCCAATCAGATCAAGCCCTGGCATCACTCCATGGCAGGATCCAATCAGATCACACCTCCCACCATCACTTCATTGCAAGATGCAATCAGATCACAGCTCATTACCCGCTGACTATAAAACCTGCCCCAGTTCCCCAGCTTGGGGAGACAGATTTAAGCCAGACTCCTGTCTCCTTGCTTGGCAGCCTTGCAATAAACTTTTCTCTCTACAAAAACCCGGTCCTTCAGTGGACCAAATGGACCTAGTTCTGTTTGGTAACAGTGGGAGAGGTCATTCCTCTAGAGGTGACTTCTGTTAATTGGCTTTAATTGCTAGAAACTGTGGAAGCTTACTGCCTCAATAGCTTCCCATAAAAAAACGAGAGTTAAGGCAACTGAGAGATGAGGAGTTCCCAACAGTTAGACGGGAATCTCAGTAGCGACCTCTTCACAAACCTGAATGTTCTCCAGAGTGTAGATGACTGGATCTGAGAAATCATCTTTCTTCTCCCCAGTCATGATGCCCCCAACAACTCGAGAATTCATCTTCAGTTTCACCTCAGAGTTGGCCAAGGGAGTCTGGGGGTTGTGGAAGAAGCGCTCATCTAAAACGGACTCCACGCCCACAAAGGAGACAAAAGCCACGCCAGTGGTCCCTGCAAGTTTCCCCAAATGAAAAACGGGGGGAAATCGTTTGCTTGTTATTATGGAAGACTTAACACACACACACACAACCCTACACAGACACAAACACACACATACACAGAGAGAAAAAATATTTTTAAATTTAAAAATAAATTTAAATTATTTTAAAAACAATTTAAAAATAAAAATTTTAAATTAAAAAATTTTTTATTTTTAAATTATTTTTAATATAAAAAATTATGTTAAATTATTTTAAATAGAAAAAATGATTTTAAAATAAAAATGTTTTTAAATTTAAATTTTATTTTAAAATTATTTTAAATATAAAAAATCTTTTAAATATAAAAAATGACTAGTGAGACGTTTTAATCCTTCTTTTCTTGTACTAAGCCTTTGAAATACAGTGTTTATTTTAGGTTTACAGAACCTCTCAACCTGGATTAATCACATTTCAAGTGCTCAACAGCTGAATGTGACCAGTACATATCATATAGGCCAGTGAAGGTCTCAGTGCTCCAGGATCATAAGGTTATTTAATATTTGACTTCCCTAGCAGATGGAAAACTCTCTGAGAGCATGGGCCATTTCTGCCCTCATTGGTTCTCAACCATCTGGTACTGGTCTTGGTACCTTGAAGGTGAGCAACAAATGTTAATTGATGAAATACACCATAACCTGTATTCTCAGGAGAGGAACTGTACCTCTGGATTCAGATTCCTCAATTGTGGAACACCCGATCTTCATCCTATCCCTTTTAGCTGCCAAACTCAAAATCACATTCTCTTCACTGCATTCTTTGTCAATAACTTTGCTCTCGATGTCTGAAAAGAGAAAGGGGGAGTTCGTATGAGGTCACTCAGAAAGTCGGTCCTGAATTTGGCTTCTGTGCAAAAAAAGGTACACTTCGTGGCAAGCAAAGGAAAGAAGAGAAAGTTCAATTCATCATAGGAAAGATCTTGAGTCCCATGATGAATGACCACAGCACCAAACAAATGAGAAACCCAGCTGGAGCGTTAGAAGTGAGCTCTCACGTCCTAGAGGGTGCATCAGGGAAAGATGGAGTCGAAATCAACAGCGATAGCAGGCCACAGTTATGATCTTCTCTCTACTCCAAACTTACATGTTTTCTAAAACCAAAAGAAATAGTAGAGGATTGGGGCAAGCCGAGCATAATAAACAAGAGCTCAGGTTTTGCCGTCAGATGGTGGTAACTAGGAGGTCCAGCTCTGCCACACACTAGCTGCCTAAATTTGACCATTGACTTAACATCTCTGGGCCTTTGATTTTTCTTCTGGGTCATGGCAAGCATTGCATAACCTATCCTATTGGCTCTTCATGAAAATAAGATGGATAATAGAACCAGAAGTATCCTTGTGAAATGTAAGCCAGAGAATACCACACCTGTTCCCAAATTTTCCAATGCCCTTTTTGTCTTACTTTAAATAAAATCTTGGCTGGGTACAGTGGTTCAGGCCTGTAATCCTAATACTTTGGGAAGCCAAGCAGGGGGATTGCTTGAGCTCAGGAGTTCAAGAGCACCATGAGCAACATAGCAAGACCTCATTTCTACCAAAAATTTTAAAAACTAGCCAAGCATGGTGGTGCACATCTGTCGTATCAGCTACTCAGGAGGCTGAGGCAGGAGGATTGCTCGAGCCTGAGTGTGCAAAGCTGCAGTGAGTAGTGATCACGCCATTGCACTCCAGCCTGGGTGACAGAATGAAACCCTGTCTCTAACAGAAGAAAAAGAAAGGAAAAAAGAAACCTCAAGTCCCTATATTTATCTACATTTCCATCTCCCTTCCTTTCTCCTATTGCTCTCATCATCCTCAATGCCACTTCAGCCACACTGGCCACCTCATTGTTCCTTGAATTCTCCAGGTATTCCTGCACTTGCTCTTTCTCCAGATATTTACATGGCTCTCCTCCCTGACATCCCTGCCCCAGTGAGACTTACCCTAATCACACTATATAAAATAGCAACTCTCTCTCTAAACCCGACCCTCGCTAACCTCCCTAGCCTGTTGTATTTTTCTCAATAGCACTACCTCTATTGGGTATACCAGATGTCTGTTTATTATCTGACTCAACTTGCTAAAGTATGAGATTCATGAGGCTAATTTTGTTCACTACTGTTGGGAGTCCACCAGACACTCTATTTCCACCTCTTGGGCTTCTGGGCATTCATTAGGTTGGAACTTCCTAGCTTTATGTGACTGATACTGAAACAACTACCAGGAGTGGGGTGCTAATGTAAAAGATCTACAGCACCCACTGTTCCCAAGTACTCATCTATCAAGTACATATGCGTCAGGAAAGGATCAGTCTTGCATCAGTAACAAACAACCTTAAGTCTTAGTGGATTAAAAAATAACAAGTGTTTTTTTATCTCATTAATGCTTTGTGTCTGTTGTAAATTGACTTGAGGCCATGTTCTATGTTATCTTTATTCTGGGACCCAGGCAGTTGGAGCAGCTGTAATCTGAAGCACTGCTAATCATATGGGCAGAGGGAAAGAAAGTTCTGGAAAGTCTCATACTGGCAACTACTCTATTTCTCAATTTATTGGCCTGAACTAGTCCCCAAATCCCACCTAACTGTACAGTAGCCAGGAAGTACAATTCTACCATGGGCTCAGCATGGCAAACAGGAAGTACTTGAACACAGACGATGACTGTCATACGTTAGCTCCTCACATAACAAGCAATCAGCAAGTATTTGTAGAACAAATTAATGATTTGGTCTTAGCACAGTGCCTGGCCTTTGCTAAGTGCTCAGTGAATTGGAAAATGTTGTTAATATGGTTAGACTTGCTTTGCTGTGAATTCAAGGATTTTTTTTGAAATTTCTCCTTTTTTTTTTTTTGTGCTTTAGATTCTGAGGTACATATGCAGATCATGCAGGATTGTCACATAGGTACATACGTGGCAAGGTGGTTTGCTGCCTCTATCCCGTCACCTATATCTGGCATTTCTCACCATGTTATCCTTCCCCAACCTCCCCACCCACCACTGTCCCGAGTTCAAGATTTTTAAACAGTTGAGGAAAGAATAGGTGGGAAAGCCCATGGAAAATCCCATTGCCAAAGTCATCTCTCAAAATCATCATCGAGGTGTAACCTTGCAACAAAGGGTATCTTCTACCTAAGTATTCCGTCTGGACAGTCCGAGTGGCATTCTCTGAGGGTCTCAAAAAAGCTGCCAGCGTTGTGCTTTCCACACTCTCCAGGAAGACTGTGGCCAGGGAGGATGTCTCTTTCTTGGTGAAGTTGGTCCATGTGGACATTTGTTCAAGCACAGGAACAAAGCTCTCAGCCATACTCTGCAAGGAAAGACATGTTTGCTCATTCTCCCTCTCTCTCTCTCTGTCTCTCTCTCTCTCTCTCTCTCTCTCTCTCTCTCTCTCTGTCTCTCTCTCTCTCATTAATGAAATAACAACTGTCCTTTTTGTCATTAGGCTGGGAGTCAACCCAAAGGAGACTTAAAAGGGGCATCCACTCGGGCTCCTTTTCCTGATTCAAGAAGCTCCAATAGAAATAAAACTTGAGGCAGGTGCGGTGGTTCACGCCTGTAATCCCAGCACTTTGGGAGGCCCAGGTGGGTGAATCACAAGGTCAGGAGTTCGACACCAGCCTGGCCAAAAGAGTGCAACCCCATCTCTACTAAAAATACAAAAAATATTAGCCAGGCATGATGGCAGTTGCCTGCAATCCCAGCTACTCGGGAGGCTGAGGCAGGAGAATCACTTGAACCCGGGAGGAGGAGGATGCAGTGAGCCAAGAACATGCCACTGCACTCCAGCCTGGGCAACAGAGCAAGGCTCTGTCTCAAATAAATAAATAGATAGATAGATAAACATGGGGTAAGCAGGACATTTGAGAGATAACAGGATGCTCTGAGCTCTGTAATCCCTGAAAGGCATGGGTGTGGGATCCCCTCCCCACTGACATAGCAGAAATATCTCAACGAGAACCAACTCCAGGAAACACAGTACTCAATTCTACGGCAGATGAAATCTCTTCAAATGCTGCCCCTCTGATATGTTAAATCTATTCTTCTTAGCTGGGAAAGTTATTTTATATGCTCAGGAAAGTTGGAAAGTTTTAGGCAAACTAAAAATCCTTAGCAGGATTCGTGTTAAATTTAGAAGGTTTTGACACATTTAGCATAATCTAGAAACATCTGTTATGTGAAGAGTTGGGACCGGGCATGGTGGCTCATGCCTGTAATCTCAGCACTTTGGGAAGCCAAGGAGGGTGAATCATCTGAGGTCAGGAGTTCAAGACCAGCCTGGCCGACATGGTGAAAGCCCATCTCTACTAAAAATACAAAATATTAGCCAGTTGTGGTGGCGGGCACCTGTAATCACAGCTACTTGGGAAGCTGAGGCAGGAGAAATGCTTGAACCCAGGAGGGTTGCAGTGAGCTGAGATCATGCCATTGCACTCCACTCTGGGAAACAGAGCAAGACAGTCACAAAAAGAAGAGGTGTTCGAAGGAACGATTTGACACATTAGAGAAGCTAACCAGTTGACCACATGGCTTTACTGCGGAAAGCAGTTTCACTTGTTACTTTAAAGTGGACCATTTAAGAGCACGTGGCTGTTCACAAACTGTACTGAACGTCTAAAAAGAAATCGGAATCATTTTGATTAATCAGATTTATGAGTCACTCACGACCCAAGTGACTTTGCCTGTTAGATTTGTAAATCCTCTTCACTAGGTCCTTCAAACGTGGGCGGAGTGGGGAGGGGGAATTGGAATCTTTATAAACAGTGTAAAACATTTGAGGAAATTGAACTAAATTTTAAAATAGGGTTAACCATTTATCAAAATTTAATCCAAAAACCCTAGGAATGAATATATACTTTATGAATAAATATATTCATTTAAATTAATAAAATTACAAGCAAAAGTGTAATTCTTATTTTCATACCAAAATAACCAGATTTAATGAGAAAATGACAGTATGAATGAGTTCAACTTAAAGCTTAAAAAAGTCTAGGTTTTGGCCAGGCACCATGGCTCGTGGCTGTAATCCCAGCACTTTGGAAGGCAGAGGCGGGCAGATCATCTGAGGTTGGGAGTTCAAGACCAGCCTGACCAACATGGAGAAACCCCATCTCTACTAAAAATAAAAAATTAGCCAGGCATGGTGGCACACGCCTGTAATCCCAGCTACTCAGAAGACTGAAGCAGGAGAATCACTTGAACCTGGGAGTCAGAGGTTGCAGTGAGCTGAGATCACGCCATTGCACTCCAGCCTGGGTGACAGAGCAAGACTCTGACAAAAAAAAAAACAAAACTACAACTCTAATAACCTAGCAACTCCTAGATATTTATGCTGGAGGAAGTAAAATTTATGCTCATACACACAAAGAATTCTATATGGATGTTTGTTTATAACAGCTCTATTGGACGGGCGTGGTGGCCCACGCCTGTAATCCCAGCACTTTGGGAGGCCGAGGCGGGCAGATCACCTGAGGTCGAAAGTTCGAGACCAGCCTGACCAATAGGGAGAAACCTTGTCTCTACTAAAAACACAAAACTTAGCCAGGCATGGTGGTACATGCCTGTAATCCCAGCTACCCAGGAAGCTGAGGCAGGAGTATCGCTTGAACCTGACAGGCAGAGGTTGCGGTGACCCGAAATCGCGGCCATTGCACTCCAACCTGGGCAACAAGAGAGAAACTCTGCTCAAAAGATAAATAAACAAATAAATAAATAAATATCAGCTCTATTGAAAATCTTTAAAATACTGGAAACAACCCAAATGTCTTTCAAAGATGAATGGATAAACAAATGGTGATACATTCATAAAATGGAATATTACTGGGTAATGAAAAAGGAATGAAGCACTGACCCATGCTACAACGTGAATGAACCCGGAGGACATCATGCTCAGTGGCAGAACTCAGACACAAAAGGAGAAATCCTGTATGACCTCACTTCTAGAAGGTTCCTAGAGTTATCAGATTCTCAGAGACAGAAAGTAGGATGGTGGGAGCCAGGGCCTGGGGAGGGGGGATGGGAAATGAGTGTTTCGGGGCAACAGAGTTTTTTTTGGGAAAGATGAGAAAGTTCTCAAGATGGATGGTGGTGATGGTTATATACCAATGAGAATGTCCTGAATCTCATTAACAATAAAAAGAAAGAAGGAGGAGGAAGAGAAGAAACGGCACTCTGCATATACACACTGTCCAGGCATCACAAATGCATTATGCTGAGCCAAAGAAGCCAGTCTCAAGAGAGCACATACTATGTGATTTCATTTATGTAACATTCTTCAAAAGACAAAACTGCAGTGACAGAGACTAGGTCAGGGATGTGCAGAAGAAGTTAGTGGTGGAGGGAGTGTCTGACTATAAGGGAGAAACCAAAGGGAATTTTTGGAGATCATTAAACTGTTTTGCATCCTAATTATAGTGGTAGTTCCACAAATCTATTCAGGTGAGAAAAACTCATCAAACTATACAAGGAAAAGGGTAATTTTACTGTATGCTAATTTTTAAAATCTTACAGCTATAAAAAATTAAATATTAATTCACAATCCCCATTAATTATAAAGAGATCTTTTTTTTTTTTTTTTTGAGACAGAGTTCACTCTGTCACCCAGGCTGGAGTACAGTGGTGCTATCTTAGCTCACCACAACCTCCACCTCCCAGATTCAAGCAATTCTCCTGCCTCAGCCTCCCGAGTAGCTGGTACTATGGCAGCCTGCCACCATGCCTGGCTAATTTTCATATTCTTAGTAGAGACAGGGTTTTATCATGTTGGTTAGGCTGGTCTCGAACTCCTGACCTCAAGTGATCTACCCACCTCAACCTTCCAAAGTGCTGGGATTACCTGTGTGAGCCACCACACCTGGCCATAAAGATGTCTTTCTGCACCCAGAGTGTGCCCAGGATATTTGAAACACAAAACGCAATTTAAGAGACTCATCATTACCTTCATGGAAACGACAGTCGTTTGATTTTCACACACATCGTCCAGAATGTTGTACATGGCATTTATTAGTGCACAAAACGAAACCTGTGCCCCAGAAAAAAAAAGAGGGGGGGCATTTGTGAGCATCGATCGATCTATTCCCCCAAGCATGTAATCTACAGATTAGTCCATAAAGCCCCATCCTATGAGGTGGTCCTGAATTCCTGAGTCTCTAGAATTCCCATGGAAATAAAAATTCATTGTTTGATCAGAATTAGAATCACATCACCTTTTCCTTCCATGAATTAAAAAAAGCAAACATAAACAAATAGCAAAACTACTTAGTGATATAAAAGAAGAGGAAATGTGTGAACTAACAGCGGTCCATATGGAATATTATTCAGCCATGCAAAGGAATGAAGTTCTCTGATATGTACTACAGCATGAATGAATCTTAAAAATATCATGCTAAGTGAAAGAAGCCAGACATAAAGGAGCAAATATTGCATGATTCCATCTCTAGGAAATGCCAAGAATGGACAAATCCTTGGAGACAGAAAGCTGATCAGCGTTTACCATGGGCTAGTGGTGGAAGAGAATGGGGAGTGACTGCTTAATGATAAAAATATTCTAGAACTAGAATTTTTATTACTCACGCCTGTAATCCCAGCACTTTGGGAGGCCAAGGCAGGTGGATCACCTGAGGTCAGGAGTTTAAGACCAGCCTGGCCAACATGGCGAAACCCCATCTCTACCAAAAACACAAAAATTAGCTAGGCCTGGTGGTGGGTGCCTGTAGTCCCAGATACTCGGGAGACTGAGGTAGGAAGAATTTCTTGAACCCAGGAGGCAGAGGTTAAGGTAAGCCAAGATTATACCATTGCACTCCAGCCTGGGTGACAGAGCAAGACTCCATCTCAAAAAAAAAAAAAAAAATTCTAGAACTAGATTGAGGTGACGATTGCATAGCATTGTGAATGGACCAAATGACACTGAACTGTACACTTTAAAATAAAGTGGTGAGTTGTTTTTTTATTTGTTTGTTTGTTTTTTGAGACGGAGTTTCACTCTTGTTACCCAGGCTGGAGTGCAATGGCGCGATCTCGGCTCACCGCAACCTCCGCCTCCTGGGTTCAGGCAATTCTCCTGCCTCAGCCTCCTGAGTAGCTGGGATTACAGGCACGTGCCACCACGCCCAGCTAATTTTTTGTATTTTTAGTAGAGACGGGGTTTCACCATGTTGACCAGGATGGTCTCGATCTCTTGACCTCGTGATCCACCCGCCTCGGCCTCCCAAAGTGCTGGGATTACAGGCGTGAGCCACCGCGCCCGGCCTAAGTGGTGAGTTTTATGTTATGTGTACCTCACCACAATTTAAAAAGAAAAACAGTGGTCCAAGGCATGTGGGAATCCCAAAGCTATAATTTAGAAGCTCATACTTAGAATAGTGACATCGATTTCCAAAGAGGCCATGGAGTCTTCACTCATCGCAGTGACCTCCTTAGACAGTCAGATGTCCAAATGCGTGGCTGGCTGTGTAACCCCCCGCGCCACCATCACTCAGCTGCAGCACCAACACGTTCACTGGTGGTAAAGTCAATATATTCTCTTGTTCTTTTATTAAGACAATCCTCAAGTTTTAGACAGGCATACATCCTCTCTTCCCAGCTTCCCTTGCAGTTAACTGTGACCATGTGACTAATTTCTACCCAATCAGGTGCAAGCAGAAGTGGTACTGGGTCATACACTTAAAGAGAAGGATTGTGCTTTTCACTTCCTCCTCTCTCCTTCTCACAAGGTGGAATGCAGATGTGAGGGCAGGAGCTGGAGCAGCCATCTTGAACCACAAAGTGGGAGTCTTGTGTTGATGCTGGCAGAACGTAATGAAGCCATCGTATGTGCTCTGCACAGCTTACACCCAGACAGTTACAGAGGAGAAAAATAAACTGGCTGTCTGGTTTTGGCCACTATTACTTTTGCCTTTGTTAGAACTGCAAAAACAACATTCTACCTAAATGGCTTCTAGGAAAACCTCAAAAACTGGGAACCTTAAAAAATACTTGCATATTCAGGTTTCATTGTGGTTCCCTCTTGGCATTGCTGGGCCAGCACATTATTGGGTATCATATCTTCCTTACATTTGAAGGGCACCCCTAGGAAGAAAACAACAGCAACCAAATCAAACTTCAACCCCAGCAAAATATGATGAAAATTCAAGTCTGGTTCCATCTCCTCCCCTCCCCCACTTAAAATCCATCTATTGCCATAATGCACAAGGGGAAAAACAAACAAACCACAACGACACACTATAACACAAAGGACATGTTGACTACAACATAATTTTCTAATTTGTAATTACATGTTAACTATAACAAGCAATTTTCTAATTTGCTCTATTTCATTCAATATCAGACCTCTTAGAGGCAATCATGAATGTGAGCATAGATGTATGTTTTTTATATGTATGGCGTCTCACTCAATAGTATGCCCCTGCACAGCTCACATTCAAAGAGGCATGATATTGAGTGAAACAAATTAGAGAAGTCACACATATAAAAGACGTACATCTATAGTCATAGGTAGTATGATAACGTTTTTACAAAGCTTCAAAACAAGCACTACTAGGCAGATATTGTTTAGGGGCACATTCCAGGGAAAATATTCTTTTAACTACGGAAATAATAAATTCCAAATTACAAGTGTTTCTCTGAGGAGGATACAAGGAGATAGGGTGGAGAAGGAATGTAGAGGAGAACCAACGGCATTGATGATATTATCTTGATTATATCGGGAAGTACATCAGATCTATTCATTTGCTTGTTATACTTCATTGCCTCCAATAAGTTACACATATTTTTCATGTATTAAATAATCCATAATTTAATGGTTTTAAACCTTTCATGGTTCCCCATTGTTCCTGGGTGGGGGGAGAATCTGAAATTCTGTTTTTAAAGACAGGGTCTCACTCTGTCACCAGGCTGAAGCGCAGTGGCATGATCATAGCTCACTGCAGCCTTGATCCCCTAGGCTAAAGCAATCCTCCCACCTCAGCCTCCTGAGTAGCTAGGACTACAAGTATATGCTACTATACCTGGCTAATTTTTTATCATGATTTTTTGTAGAGACAGGATCTTGCAATGTTGCCTAGGCTGGTCTTGAATTCCTGGCCTCAAGTGATCCTCTCACCTTAGCCTCCCAAAGTGCTGTTTATAGCTATGTCACTGCATCCAGCCCTTCCAGAATTCCTCACAAGGCACCAAGACCCAGCAGAATCTGACCCCTGTCTACTTCATCAGATATATCGAATGCCACTTCCCCTTGGTCCTCATTTGGTGTGAGCCTCAGGACCTTTGCATCTGCTATAACCCAGAACAGCATGATCTCCATTCTTCCTCCAGAGAAGTCCTACTCCTCCTTCAAGTTTCTGCTTAAATGTTGTTTGCTCAGAGCATAATCAATATCCTATTAGCCACTCCAAAGCACACTGTGATTTTTTTTGTTTGTTTCATTCACAGTTATGATTAAATAATTGTGTGTGTGCTTTCTGGCTCCTTGCCTAGACTATAAGCTACACAAGGACAAGAATCATGCTCATTATACCCAGGACCAAATCTTCAGCCCCTACTGCAGGGGTCTGTTAACTAACTAATTAATTAATAGGTGCTCCAGAAATCATTTGAAAGAGTAAATTAACAAAAGAGTAAATGAATGGAGAAAAAAAAGGAGCAGAGTATGTGGATGCGGTAACAGTAAGAGGAAGATCCAGAGGTTGAGTAGAATGAGAATTTCCCAACCAAAGCCAGACACAGATTCCATTGCCAAGATATACAAAGAGATGATTACTTTGGCAGCTGAAGTTGCCATCTTTCTGGGAGCCTTCTGGATTGGGATGAAAGCCTGCAATGCAGCTACAGTTGTAGGAGCCCAGGGCATTGGTGCAGACAGAATTTAGACCACACGTTGATGGATCTTGGAGGCACTCATCAATATCTGCAAAGAACTGGAGAATATCAAGAAACCCAGAAGAGCAAAGAGAAATGTCTTTTCTGGACTGTCCAGCAAACCGCCTGCTCACCTCTACATTCCACTTCTTGGTCTGTGAAATTCAGCTGTCCATTGCTTGGTGCAAAGCCAGGGTGGCAGGTGCAAAAGTAGCTCCCAGGAGTGTTGGTGCATGTTGAATTGATGGGGCACATTTCAATGCATTCATCAATATCTGTTGGGTACAGAACGGGTGTGGAGCCAGGTTGGCCAAATGATCCAACAAAATCATGCTTCTTCCCCTTCCAAAATAAGGAGTCATGTTTCACTAGAAAATGGTGTCCCAGCCAGGGACTACATTTCCCAGAACCCTCTCCATCTAGGTGAGGTCATGTGACTACTTTTCATTCATGGACTATGAGAGCCATGATATATGTCACTTCAGGGCCAAGGTTGTCAAGAAGTGGGTGTAACTTCTCTCTCTGTCTCTTTCTTTCTTTTTTCTTCCTTCCTTCCTTTTTTTTCTTCCTTCCTTCCTTTCTTCCTTTTTTCTTTCTTTCTCCCTCTTTCTTTTTTCCTTCCTTTCCTTCTTTCCTCTTTCTTTCTTTGTTTCTTTCTTTCTTTCCTCTTTCCCCCTTTCTCTCTTTCTTTCTTTGACAGAGTCTTGCTCTGTTGCCCAGGCTGCAGTGCAGTGGCACAGTCTCGGCTCACTGCAACCTCCACCTCCTGGTTTCAAGCGATTCTACTGTCTCAGCCTCCTGAATAGGTGGGATTACAGGTGTGCACCCACCGCACCTGGCTAATTTTTGTATTTTTGGTAGAGATGGGATTTCACCATGCTGGTTGGTCTCAAACTCCTGACCTTGTGATCTGCCCACCTCAGCTTCCCAAAGTACTGGGATAACAAGTGTGAGCCACTGTGCCTGGCCCTCTCCTCCTCCTTTCACCTCAACTGGCTAAAACCAGGAACTCCAAGGTTCTAAAGAATGCAAGAACAAAAAGATGGAGAGAGACTGAATTCCTTTATCACCATGTCAAGAAAAGCTGCCCACGGGCCAGGTATATCTATATTGAATTGTTATGAAAGTGATAAATTTCTATTATGTTAAGCTAGCAATAAGGTAGGAAGCAGGACTCAACTACAGAGGAGGGACTCGGACACTGGACCAAATTGAGGACTACCTAAAACAAGGTCAGGGTGGAAGCAGCTTTCCGTAAGACATGCCCCACCAGTGTGCCATGTCAGTCTACCATTGCCCTGGCAACATTGGGGATTGACTGCCCCTTTCTATGGTAATGACCTGATGACCCAAAAGTTACTACCCCTTCCCTAGAAATGTCTACATAAACCACCCGTTAATCTGCATATTATTAAAAGCAGGTATAAGTATGATTGCAAAACTACCTGAGCTCTGCTCTCTGCCTCTGAGGTAGTCCTGCTCTATGGGAGCAGTCACAGAGCTGTAACACTGCCAGAGCTGTAACACTGCCTCTTCAATTCAATAAAGCTGTTTTCTTTTACCTCCGGCTTACCCTTGAAATCTTTCCTGGGCAAAGCCAAGAACCCTTGCAGGCTAAACCCCACTTTGGGGCTTGCCTGTCCTGAATCAGTAATCCTCAACTGGGGGTGATTTGTCCTTCCAGGGAACAGGGTACAGTATCTAAAGACATTTTTGGTTGACGTAGCATGGGGTGGAAAGAGTGTTACTGGGATCTAGTGGGTGAAAGCCAAAGATGCTACCAGACATTCTGCATGGCACAGAACAACTCCTCACAACAAAAAATTATACAGCCCAATATGTCAATGGTGCTGAGGGTGAGAAATCTACACTCAACTAATACAGGATGATGCCAGGCTACTATGCCCATATGGGGCTAGCTCTTCCTCTGAGGGCTTCCGACCACAAAGGATATATGGAGTAGAATGTTATGAGAAAAAAATAATTAGGAAAGACGTGTAGACAAAAGCTCTTCTATTCCTAGGTCAACTCATAAAACATGAGGAATAAACAACCTTCTGCAGTGACTCACATCAGTCCAAGGTACAGGGAATTGGGCAGTACGACGGAGGACTGGGATGAAAAGTCTTTGTGCTATGAATGTTGGTTAATTTGAAGGCCTCGAAGGACACAAGAATGATCCATGATTGGAAGGTAAGGGGAAAGAGTTTTTCTGCTGGAATCATGGAAAATGTCACTAGCCAAGCAGTGAGCTTCTTTTAGTGGCAGTGAGCACCCCACTTCCAGAAATATTTCAGCATGAACTAGGTGAGCACTTTTCACAGATTACATGGTTGGGACTTATACTTTGCATATGGAGTTGGGTTAGGTGCATGGTTTTCAAAACGTTTTGGCCCAAGAAGCCTTCCTTCAGGTGAAGTGAAACCTGAATAGGTAAGACAATTAAAAGAGGGTATAATTTGCCAGAAAAGATGGGCATCCATGGCCTTGCCTGCCTAGCTTTTCTCTTGGCCTTGATGGGGATCTTGAATGGGTTCCTAGGCCCCTGGAGCTATGTTAATTTATTTGTAAGATACCTTTCAACTTTACTTCTCTATTATTCTGCTTCTGACAATATCAGAAGCTAGCAAATGTCAGCAAATAATAAGAAATATGACATTTTAATAAAAAGAGGCATGCATTTTCCCTGGAGGGGTTGAAGAATATAAAATGCACTCTGTAGTATGGTAGGTACTTCAACAATGACCTCCATCAATTCTTCTGATTTCGCTGTGCACATAGTGCTTCTTTGGTGAGATGGGGAGTTTATTCTCCTTCCTTGGGATCTCTGCTGGCCCTGTGACTATAACCAATACCATGTGGTAGAAGTCATGGAACTTCCCAAGCCCAGACCATAAAAGGAATGGCCATTTCTGTTTTTTTCCTCTTGAAACTGTGTTTCTTGGAAACCAACTGCCATGCTATAAGGAAGCCCAAGCAGCCATGAGGAAAGGCCCATGAGGAAATCTTAGGGTCCCAGCTGAGGTCCCAACCAAAGACCAGCACCAACTACCAGCCATGTGTAAGCAAGACCATTTTGGATATACGATATACCAGTCTTCCTAGTGCCCCATCTGACCTACATGAAACAAAGAATCATGTGTTCAACATATAGTATCATGAAAAAAACAAATGGTCATTGTTGTAAGTTAGGACGCTTCAGAGCAGTTTGATATCTGTTGAGAAATCCTCAGCATGGCTGGGAGAATTACCTGTACATCCAAAAGCCTCTGGATCCTTAAGGGTCTGAGAATCAGGCAAAAAATATCCAGGCAGGCAGGAGCAATTGTATTCTCCTGGGATGTTGGTGCAGACAGAATTGGGACCACAAAGATTTGAGTTCCTGGAACATTCATCCACATCTAAGCAGAAAACCAGTCTAAGTCAGAAGAATGAAGGAGACTGAGGCTGCAAGAGCTCACAGCCTCACCACTGACTGAAAGCAATGTATCTCCCTGACTATGCTCTTACCTTCATAAACACATTTTCATCACTCAAAGAACAACCACTTAGAGGCATATCCATGGTGCATGAAAATTTTCTAATAAGCCTTCCCACTGCTCAGGATAAAATCCAAAATCCTCATTAGATATGCAAGGCCCCGACAACCTAGTTCCAACGAAGCTGACCGACCTCTACCCCATCTCTCGCTTTGAATTCCTTTGTGATTTAGGATCCAGATGCATAGTTTACCTTTTTCTTTTTTAACAGACAGCATCTCACTCTGTTGCCCAGATTGCAGTTCAATGGCACATCATAGCTCATCAAACTCCTGAGCTCAAGTGATCCTCTCACCGAGTAGCTGGGACTACAGGCATGTGCTACCATGTTATATAGAGACAGGGTGTCACTATGTTGCCCAGGATGGTCTCGAACACCCAGCCTCAAGTGATCCTCCCGCCTCAGCCTTCCAAGCAGTGGGAGCTAAAGACACATGCCCCAAGCCTAGCTAGTTTGTTTTTGTACAGACAGGGTCTCACTATGCTGCCCAGGTTGGTCTCAAACTCCTTGCCTCAATCCATTTTTCTGCTTCAGCTTCCTAGAGTGTAAACACATAGATACCCTTTATTCCACAAAGGCTCATTGTCTCTCATCTCTGTTCCCTCAGCCTTGAACCTGCATACACCCTTCTTTCCATGGTAAGTCTCAATTCCTCTCCAAGGCATCACATATTATTAGTAATAAAAACAGAAGCACATGGCCAGGCATGATGGCTCATACCTGGAATCCCAGCACTTTGGGAGGCTGAGGCAGGTGGATCACCAGAGGTCAGGAGTTTGAGACCAGCCTGGCCAATATGGTGAAACCTCATCTCTACCAAAAATACACAAATTAGCCGGGCATGGTAGCACATGCCTGTAATCCCAGCTACTCGGGAGGGTGAGGCAGGAGAATCACTTGAACCCAGGAGGCAGAGGTTGGAGTGAGCTGAGATTGGGCCACTGCACTCCAGCCTGGGTGACAGAACAAGACTCTGTCTCAAAGTCAAAAATCAGGCCGAGTGTAGTGGCTCACGCCTGTAATCCCAACATTTTGGGAGGCCGAGGCAGGTGGATCATTTGAGGTCAGGAGTTTGACACCAGCCTGACCAACATGGTGAACCTTTATCTGTACTAAAAATGCAAAAATTAGCTGGGTGTGGTAGCACATGCCTGTAGTCCCAGCTACTTGGGAAGGTGAGGCAGGAGAATTGCTTGAACCCAGGAGGAGGAGGTTGCAGTGAAACAAGATGGCAACACTGCACTCCAACCTGGGCAACAGAGCAAGACCCCATCTCAAACAAACAAACAAACAAAACAGAGGCACAGACTACAAGGGTTGAGAACATGGACATTCTGGGTTCATAGCTTGGCTCTGCTGTTTTGAGAGTGAACAAACATTTACAGGCTGTTTGTTCCTGGGTGCTATGGACTGAATGGTGCCCCTCCTGCAAATTCCTGTGTGGAAGCCCTAAGCCCCAGTGGGATGTTATATCAAGATGTCATTTATTGCTGTATCCCCAGTGCCTAGAACAGTGACTCATATATTTTAGGCACTCAAGAGGTATTTCTTTAACGAGTGAATGAATGAATGAATAATTGTTGGCTTCAGATTTGCAGATGAAAGTCTTAAACTCAACCAAGACCAACCCCAATCCCCTCACTACTGTCTTTGCAAATAGACTGGGGCCTAACTTCCCAGAAGACTCTCCCAGCTACCTTCACACAATTCTCTGAGACCCTGAAAACTCAAGTGGCCACTGCTGGATTCAAATCCTGGGTTGCAGAGACAAGTGTAGGCTCCAACAGTGTTGTGACAAGTTGCATGCTCCGGGCAAGCTCCTGGATTGACACATTCATCCACATCTGACGAGAGGAAGAGAAAACCCAGGTTAAGGTAAGTGAGAAAACAAGGACTGGAGACTGCAAGCAGCAGGTTCACTCAGTGTGATGGGGTAGAGAGGAAGCTTTGGCAGTGATGATAAAGCCTGATCCAAGGATGGAAAAGATTCACATCAGACAGGGCTGATGCTCCCCAATATCCATGTTCCCCCCCTCTTCCCAGGCTCAGAGTGGGACATATTTTCCAGCCCCTTCTTGTAGTAGGCATGGCCATGAGAATAAATTCTAGCCAATGGCATGTAAGCAGAAGGGTGGCAAATAGTTTCAAAACATAATTATCAGAGATCGCAAAAGTAGCCACAGTCCTTTACTCCTCTCTGTATTTACACCCCAAGATGCAGACTGCATGCCATGTGACTTTACCACACCGTGCACTAAGAGGTGGAGTCTGTCTCTCTACCCCTTAAATATATCTGGCCCTATGACTTGCATTGACCAATAGAAGACAGTGAAGTAATGAGGCACTAATTCCAAACCTGGGCCTCCAGAGACCCGTTGGCTTCTGTTCAGTCTCTTGGGCCTCTGATCTCTGTCCTATGAACAAGCCCCTGACTAGCCTAATGAAGAATAAAAGACCAAGTGGAAGGGAAATGAATCATCCCAGATGAGCCCCAGACACGTGAGACCCATTCCCTCCTCCTTGTAATAATATAACAATATAATAATATAACGATCCAGTTGAGAACTGCATTCCCAGCTTCTCTTGCAGCGACATGTCGCCCCATGGTGAAAATCTGGCCAAGGATAATAAATAGAAGTGATGTGTGCACTATTTGGTCATGCTCTTGAAAAGAAAGAACAGACTCTATACTTCCTCTCTCTTTTCACCTAGGCTGGAAGATGGACAGAGTGGGGTGATCCATTCCCAACTATGGGGATTGGAGAGGCAACAAGACAAAGCCCACCCAAGATCAGCTGACTGCAGACACAAGAACAAGACCAGTTGAGACCAAAAGATCTGGCTAGAATAGACCACTTAAATTGTCAACTCATGGAATCAAGAGCTAAATAAATGGTGGTTGTTTCTAGACACTAACTTTTAGGGTGATTTTTTACCCAGTGATAGCCAACCACTACAAATAGAGTAGCAAAGGCAGAGATGACTTCAAACATCTCTTCAAGTAAGCCAGGGGGATATGATGAGGGCTTGATCACACTTTGCCTTTCTCAGTGGAGACACCATCCCTGTAAATGAATGTGGAGAATAACAATGCACTCGACACAGGAAGACGGAGCCCTTGTTTTTTGGTGAGAACATTCTGGCTGGAGTGTAGAGGATTGATTGGAGGAAATAAGACTGGAAAAGGTGAGGCTAGAGAGGAGGCTTTTGCAGTGATGATAAAGCCTGATCCAAGGATGGAAAAGAGCAGAGGAATTCAACACATATTTATTTATGTATTTATTTTTGAGACCAGGTCTTGCTCTGTCATCCAGGCCGGAGTGCAGTGATGCAAGCACAGTGTACTCCAGCCTCAACCTCCTGGTGTCAAGCAATCCTCCCACTTCAGCTTCTTCAGTAGCTGGGACCACAGGCACATGCCACGACACCCAAATAATTTTCTCTCTTTTTTTTTTTTTTTTTTTTTTTTTTTGTAAAGACAGGGTCTCAGTAGGTTGCCCAAGCTGATCTCAAACTCTTGGTCTTAAGCACTTCTGTCCCAGCCTCCCAAAGTGCTGGGATTACAGGCGTCAGCTGCCACACCTACTCTCAAAACATGTTTAGTAAATAGATTCCCCAAGGTGTGATGACTGCTTTAATATGGAGAGACAGAAAAGCTTAAAGATAACTTTCAAGCCTTAATTCAAATTACTTTAGGGGAAAGTTCTAAGGTCTGGACTTTAGATCTCCCCAGAATAGGGTTTTTCCACCTCAGCACTATTGTCATTTAGGGCCAGATTATTCTTGGATGTGGGGGATGTTCCATACATTATAGGATGTTAGCAGCATCTCTGATGACTTCCCATTAGATGCCTGTAGCACACACAGCACCTCTCCCCACCATCACCAGTTGTGACAATCAAAAATATCTGCAGATGTTGCCTATGCTCCCTGGGGGAAATATCAGTCTGAAGACAAGTGCACCCCATTATATTCTGATACCGCTGTTTGACTTATAGTAGGATCTCAACAGGAGTTCAAATCCCAGCTCTTCCATTTAATATTTGCATATAGACCACAGATCCTATAAAGCAATTACACAATTGAGATTACAAAGCAACTAGCTAGCAACACTGTGACAGGAACTAAGCCTTCACATGTCAATATTAACCTTGAACAGAAGTGGCCTACATGCTCCACTTAAAAGATATAGATTGTTAAACTGGATTAAAACAAAAAAGGGACCCAACCGTGTGCTGCCTGCAAGAGACCTACTTAACATGTAAAGACACCCAGGCTCAAAGTAAAGGGATAGAAAAAGATATAGGCAACTATATATTTTTACGTCTGTGAGCCCCAATTTCTGATCACTAACATGAGAAAATCCCTTCCTCATATGGTCTTCCAGCGAGATGACCCTTAATTAATTAAGTAGGCAAATAGTAAAGAGATGGTCATTTATACCTTCACAGCTGGAGTTTCTAGAGATGAATCCGACTTGACAGTTGCAAAGGTAGCCTCCCATAAAGTTGACGCAGTCAGAATGCTCAGGGCAGATCCCGTTGGTGAGGCACTCATTGATGTCTGAGAAGCAGTGGAAGAGTGTGAGTAGATAAGAAATTGGGTGCCTAAGTTCAGAAATATATGAACTCAAGCCAGGTGTGGTGGCTCACACCTGTAATCTCAGCACTTTGGGAGGCTGAGGAGGGTGGATTATGAGGTCAGGGGTTCGAGACCAGCCTGACCAACACAATGAAACCCTGTCTCTACTTAAAAATACAAAAATTAGCGGGGTGTGGTGGCATGCACCTGTAATCCCAGCTACTTGGGAGGCTGAGGCAGGAGAATTGCTTGACCTGGGAGGCGGAGGTTGCAGAAAGCTGAGAGCACACCACTGCACTCCAGCCTGGGCAACAGAGTGAGACTCCATCTCAAAAAAAAAAAAAGAAAAAGAAAAGAAACGGAAAAAAAAAGAAATACATGAACTCACCTTCCTGATAGATTCCCACCCAAGACCCATCTTTGGGAGACTGAGAGCATTACCAGTACAGGAGAAATTGCCTGGCTTTCCTGAGATCCAGCCATTTCCAGTGGGAGAAGAGAAACCATGAAAACAGCTGCACTTGTATCTCCCCAACAGGTTTTTGCAGACTGAGTTAGGACCACAGGGCTGGGGGCTTTGAGAACATTCATCAATATCTGGACAGAGAGTTGGAGTTACAAATTTGCTTATTCTAGATAGAAAACTGTGTTTTGCAAAAAAAAAAATGTTAAAACAGTATCTCCCATCCCATATGCTCTTCATTCAACGTGACTTTGGCCCTTCTTCCATTAAGCAATGCAATATATGTCACTTTCTTGAATCTGAGCATGCTTGTGACTATGGTGGAAGTGACACTAGGTCATAAAAATATTATATATTTCTACCTCATTCTCTTGGGATGCTTATCCTTGGAATCCAGCCACCATATTGTGAGGAAACTCAACCATTCATGAAATTTTACAGTGACCAGGAATTATTTACATGGTCAGAGAGAGGGAGGGTGGGGAGAGAAGAAAAGAAAAGAAGAGGGGAAGCAGGGAGGGGGAAGGGGGGAGAGGGGAGGGGGTAAGGGGGAGGGGAAGGGAGAGATGGAAGGGAAGGGAATGGAATGGAAGCAAAGGGAAGGGAAGAGAGAAAGGAAAGGGAAGAGAAGGGAAAGGAGAGAGAGAAGGGAAGGGAACAGAAAGGGGAGAGGGAGGGAGAAAGGGATGGAGGGAGGAAGGAAGGGAGGGAGGGAGGGAGGGAGGGAGGGAGGGAGGGAGGGAGAGAGGAAGGAAGGGAGGGAGGGAGGGAGGGAGGAAGGAAGGAAGGAAGGAAGGAAGGAAGGAAGGAAGGAAGGAAGGAAGGAAGGAAGAAGGAAGGAAGCCAACCAACCATGTTGGGCTGAGGGGAATTACCTACATTCAATACCCAGCCAGCTTTTACTTGATTTTCCCACCAAATGCTGGAGGGTTTGAGGGGGCATGAACTCACCTTTGCATTCCACTCCTGGACCCTTGAAGTGTCTTTGTCCGTTGCTAGACAGGAAGCCTTGTTTGCAAGTACAGTAGTAACTGTCCATGCTGCTGGTGCAGGTGGCATAAGCTGGGCACGCGGTAGTCTCTCTACATTTATTTGCATCTATGCAGTGTGTAACAAAAAGTTTAGACAAGATTAGAGCAGTAGAGTGAGGCTGCAAGGGAACCCGCATACAAGGGTGGAAGTTGGCATACAATGGGCTGGATTGTGTTCCCCCCGAAAGATATGTTGAAGTCCTAAATTCTGGTACTTGTGAATTTAATTTATTTGGAAGCTGTGTCTTTGTAGATGTAATTAAGACATAAGTTAAGATGAACCGGTGCTGAAGTAGGGTGGGCCACAGGTGTCCTTATAAGAACAGAAGAGACACAGGCATGCACAGGGACGATGCCATCCAACAATGAAAACCGGGATCTGAGTGGTGTGTCTAGAAGCCGAGGAACACCAAGGATTGCCAGCAGTAACAAAACCCTTTTTTTAAAACAGGCATGGAACAGATTCTGCCCAAAAGCCTTTGGAGGAAAACTGGCCCTGCCAATACTTTGATTTCACACTTCTGGATGCCAGAACTTCAAGAGAATAAACTTTTGTTTGTTTGTTTTTGAGATGGAGTTTTGCTCTTGTTACCCATGCTGGAGTGCAATGGCGCAATCTCGGCTCACCGCAACCTCCGCCTCCTGGGTTCAGGTAATTCTCCTGCCTCAGCCTCCTGAGTAGCTGAGATTACAGGCACGTGCCACCATGTCCAGCTAATTTTTTGTATTTTTAGTAGAGACGGGGTTTCACCATGTTGACTAGGATGGTCTCGATCTCTCGACCTCGTGATCCACCCACCTCGGCCTCCCAAAGTGCTGGGATTACAGGCTTGAGCCACCGCATCTGGCTCTTCTTTTTCTTTTCTTTTTATTTATTTATTTATTTTTAAAGATGGAGTTTCACCATAATGGCCAGGCTGGTCTTGAACTCCTGACCTCAGGTGATCCACCCACCTCAGCCTCCCAAAGTGCTAGGATTACAGGCGTGAGCCACTGCACCCGGCTCACTTCTGTTGTTTTAAGCAGCCCTAGGAAACTGATACAGCAGCCAATCATATTTAATCATGTACCTCGAAGACCCTAGACCCTTGCTACTCAGAGTAGGGTCTACGGGTCAGCCACGTGAGCATTGCTTGGGAGTTAGATGGAAATGCAAAATCCACTGAATCCGAATCTGCATTTGAACAAGATCCCAGGTGATGTGTGTGCACGGGGAAGTTTGAGAAGCACTGTTCTGGATCCTTGCTACCCAAAGTGTGGTCATGATACAGACCAGTATCATCTTCCTCCCTTTGGATTCCAAGAACATCTTGCAAAATCAGATGCTGATTCAGCAGGTCTGGGGAAGGGAGCCTGAGATTTTGTATTTCTAACAAGTCCCTGGAGGATGCCCATTCTGTTGGTCCATGGATCGTACCATGAACATCCAAGCACTAGACAGAAAAGTAAGAGAGTCAAAAGTGCAAGTTTTGGGACAAGGCAGACTTGAGTTCAAGTTCCAGCAGCAAACCTCAAAGCCAAGAATGGTAGCTGCTCCTCCAGACCCATTCCACCCTCCTCCTTGTAATAATATAACCATCCAGTTGAGGACTGCATTCCCAGCTTCTCCTGCAGCTAGGTGTGGCCACAGGACGAAAATCTAGCCAACGAGAATGAATAGAAGTGATGTGTGTACCATCTGGTCATGTCCTTGAAAAGAAAGAGCATACTCTATACTTCCTCTCTCTTTTCACCTGGGCTGGAAGATGCACAGAGGAGGGTGATCCATTCCCAACCATTGGGGATGAGGTTCACACCTAAGGTTGGAGAGGCAACAAGACAAAAGGAACTTGGGAGATGGGATGACCTCCTAGGCAGGGTTGTCCCACCACCCTGGTCCATCTTCAAGGTGGAGATTTATTAGTCAGAGAAAAGTAAACATCTAAATTGTTTCATTCATAGTTATTTTATCTGTATGGGAACAATCATGACTCTATCCTAGCCAATCCAGTCCTGGGGCCTCTCTGTACGTCAGTTTACCACCACATCCAGTAAGCCTCCAAGCCCTGTTGATCCCCTGTCCCAAATATCATTTGACAATTGCCCATTTCACTCCACCACTTTGGCTATGCCTGAGCCAGATCTTCCTCTGAATTCAACATTTCTACATACTCCATTGCCCTTCACAATCATCTACTCTACACCATGGTCATCTCTGAATGCACCTATAATGCTCCCTGTTCTCCCTAGAAATAAAACTCAAATTACTCAGCATGAGCTGCAAAATCCCCAGTGACCAAACCCAACCACAACCACATCATTCAGCCTCATCATGCCAGTTTCTCTATTATCCATTTCTTCCTTCTTTCTTTCTTTCTTTTTTTTTTTTTTTTTTTGAGACGGAGTTTTGCTCTTGTTACCCAGGCTAGAGTGCAATGGCACGATCTTGGCTCACCGCAACCTCCGCCTTCTGGGTTCAAGCAATTCCCCTGCTCAGCTTCCTGAGTAGCTGGGACTACAGGCGCGCACCACCATGCCCAGCTAATTTTTGTATTTTTAGTAGAGACGGAGTTTCACTTTGTTGACCAGGATGGTCTCGATCTCTTGACCTCGTGATCCACCCGCCTCGGCCTCCCAAAGTGCTGGGATTATAGGCGTGAGCCACCGCGCCCGGCCTGTTCTCCATTTCTAGCCTTCCTACCACAGGACTTTTGCACATGCTGTTCCCTCTGCCTCTACTTTGCCTGGCCAGCTTTCACTCATTTCATTCTTCAGGTCTTGCTTTAACATCACTTCATCCAAGAAGCCTTCTCTGACTCCTCTACAGCCCCTGAGCTCCTCTTCTATGGAATTTATCAAAATGGTGACTGCTTGATTGTTTCAGTGATTCTCTCCTTCGTGGCCACCTTCACCAGCACACTGTGAGCTTCAGAAGGACAAGACCACAGGTGGAGGCAGGCTCCCAGGTGCTAGGGAAGAGGCTCATTGATGCTATCATTCTTGTGGCAGGCAGAATAACAGACCCTTCCAAGATGACCACGTTCTAATCCTGAAACCTGTGACTATGTTATGCTCCATGGCAAAAAGGGAATGAAGGTTGCAGGTGGAATTAAGTTTGCTGATCAGCTGATTTCAAGATGGGGAGATTATCCTGGATCATCCAGGGGCAAGCAATGTAACCACAAGAGTCTTTTTAAGTGAAAGCTGAAGCCAAGAAAGGCATTGTCAGAGTGATGTGATGTGAGAAAGATCTGACCAGCCATTGCTGGCTTTGAAGATGGGGAAAAGGGACATGAGCCAAGGAATGTGGTTGGCCTTAGATACAGGAAAAGGTAAGAAAATAGGTTCTCTCGGCTGGGAGTGGTGGCTCATGCCTGCAATCCCAGTACTCTGGGAGGCTGAGGTGGGCAGATCGCGAGGTCAGGAGTTTGAGACCAGCCTGACTAAAATGATGAAAACCCGTCTCTACTAAAAATACAAAAAAAAAATAGCCAGGCGTGGTGGTGGGCACCTGTAGTCCCAGCTGTTCAGGAGGCTGAGGCAGGAGAATCACTTGAACTGGGAGGTGGAAGTTGCAGTGAACTGAGATCACACCACTGCACTCCAGCCTGGGTGACAGAGTAAGACTCCTCTCAAAAAAAGAAAGAAAGAAAAGAAAGAAAGAAGGAAAGAAAGAAAGAAATAGAAAGAAAGAAACAAAGAAAGAGAAAATAGGTTTTCTTATACAGCATCCAGAAGGAACACAGCCCTGCCAAAGCCTCTATTTTAGCCCAGTGGGACCCATTTCAGACATCTGACCTCCAGAATGATAGAGAAGTTTTTGTTGTTTTATGCCACCAAGTTTGTGGCAATTTGTTACAGCAGCCATAGAAAATGAACACAATTCCCTATACCCATATGTGAAAAGAACATGCCTCAAAGTGATTGAGCAACTTATCCAAAGACACACAGCTAGAGAGCAGCAGAGCCAGACCTTTCAAAATCCAAAGTACATTCAAGAGATGGAATCAGTCTAAGTGTCCATCAGTGGATGAATGGTTAAGGAAGATGTGGGATATGTACTCAATGGAATATCATTCAACCATAAGAAATAATGAAATCCTATCATTTGCAGAAACATGGATGGAACTGGAGGACACTACATTCGTGAAATAAGCCAGGCACAGAAAAACAGATATTGCGTGTTCTCATTCCTATGTGGGAGCTAAAATAGTAATAATGATGGTCTAATGGAGGTAGAGAGCAGAATGATAATTACCAGAGGCCAGGAAGGGTAGTGGGGAAGGGAAATAAAGAGGGGTTGGTTAGTTAGTACAAAAACACAGTTAGGGCCAGGCACGGTGGTTCATGTCTGTAATCCCAGAACTTTGGGAGGTCAAGGCAGGTGGATCACTTGAGGTCAGGAGTTCAAGACCAGCCTGACCAACATGGAGAAACCCCTATCTCTGCTGAAAACACAAAATTAATCAGGCATAGTGGCACATGCCTGTAATCCCAGCTACTTGGGAGTGTGAGGCAGGAGAATCGCTTGAACCTGGGAGGTGCAGGTTGTGGTGAGCCAAGATCATGCCAATGGCAGTCCAGCATGGGCAACAAGAGCGAAACTCCGTCTCAAGAAAAAACAGAAACAAAAATACAGTTAGATGGAAGGAATAACATCTAGTGCTCAGTAGCACAATAGGACAACCACGTATGAGTCAGGACATATTTGTCTTTCTGTGCCTGGCTTATTTTACTTAACATGATGACCTCCAGTTTCATCCATGTTGCTACAAATTACAGAATTTCATTCTTTTTATGGCCAAATAGCATCCCACTGTGTATGCAGACCACACTGTGTTCATCCTTTCGTATGTCAATGGACACTTAATTTGATCTCCTGTCTTTATTATTATTATTATTTTGAGACGGAGTCTTGTTCTGTCACCCAGGCTGGAGTACAGTGGCGCAATCTTGGCTCACTGCAACCTCTGCCTCCTGGGTTCAAGCGATTCTCCTGCCTCAGCCTCCCAAGTAGTTGGGATTACAGGTGCACACCACCACACCAGGCTAATTTTTGTATTTTTAGTAGAGACGGGGTTTTGCCATGTTGGCCAGGCTGGTCTCAAACTCCTGACCTTAGGTGATCTGCCTGCCTCGGCCTCTCAAAGTGCTGGGATTACAGGCGTGTGCTACTGCACCTGGCCTGATTCCACATCTTGACTGTTGTGAAGAGTGAACTTGGGCTTTGTATCAAAGAAAGATGGGAGTCATGGGAGGATCTAGAGCAGAGTAGGGACACAGCATAAGTTTTAACATAAGCCTCCTGGCCACTGGTTGGAAGATGAACTATAGAAGATCAGAAGCAAATTGATCAAGGAGGGGGTGACTGCACTTGTCCAGGTAAACGACGTCAGTAGATACAACCCAGAGGGGAGCAATGGAGGGAATGCAAATTGGGATTTTTTTTTAAAGCAATGCTAACAAAATTTGCCAATGGATTGGATGTGAGGAGTGAAAAGAGAGGAACCAACCATAATGCCAACACCAATTGGTAGTATGAAAAAATGAAAATGTGTCATAAAAACAGAAGGAATGGCTGGGTGCGGTGGCTCATACCTGTAATCCCAGCACTTTGGGAGGCCAAGCTGGGTGGATCACCTGAGGTCAGGAGTTCGAGACCAGTCTGGCCAACAAGGTGAAACCCCATATCTACTAAAAAATACACAAATTAGCCGGGTGTGATGGTGCACACCTGTAATCCCAGCTACTTGGGAGGCTACGCCAGGAGAATGGCTGAAACCCAGGAGGCGGAAGTTGCAGTGAGCTGACATCATGCCACTGCACTCCAGCCTGGGTGACAGAGTGAGACTCAATCTCAAAAGACATATATATACAAAAATTAGCTGGGCATGGTGGTGTGCACCTGTAATCTCAGCTACTGGAAAGGCTGAGGCAGAAGAATTGCTGAAATCTGGGAGGTGGAGGTTGCAATGAGCAGAGATCAAGTCTAGCGTGGGTGACAGAGTGAGATTTCATCTCAAAATAAATAAATAAATAAGGAATAGATTATCGTGATTGTGACATTATTCACCCTGTGTTTGTCACATGTTCAGTTTTGAGATCCAAGTTCTTTGCTCCTATAATGCACCCTATTTATTTCCCTTCCCTGCACGAGGCCTCTGGTGGTATCTCTCGTCTCATTTCCAGCTTTCTCTTTCACCTGCAGAGGCAACATTTGTCTGCACATTTCCAGCATTTGATCACCTGTGGTCCCTTAGTGCTGTGAGCTCCCCATCATCCTCTTCCTCTAGCCCACTCCCTCACAACTCAAACCCACCCAAGCCCAGTTAACAGCCCAGCCTTGTGGGATGAGGACAGAGCAAGACTCCATCTCAAAACAAAAACCAAAAGAGCCCAGGAAGTGGGTACCACCCTCCGCCCATGGTACACATGAGGAAACCGAGGCTCAGAGAAGCTGTTGGGTCATTTGGACAGAAAACAGGAGAGTTGGGGCCCAGGTTCACGGTCATAGCCCCCAAAATGTGGTCTCTTCACAGCTTTGATCACCAAATGCTCTCTGGGCCTTGGTTTTCTCATCTGTAAAGTGGCTTTAATTGCCGAATCCAACGGGGAAGCCTGTGATGATGGAGGCATGGCAGCAGGGGAACTCCCATTGATAAAACCATCAGATCTCAGGAGACTTACTCACTACCATGAGAACAGTAGAGGGAAACCATCCCCCATGATCCAGTTATCTCCACATTGGCCCCGCCCTTGACACAGGGATTTTTACAATTCAAGGTGAGATTTGGGTGGGGACACAGCTAAACTGTATCAACAACTAAGAACTGACAATGTCTTTCTTCCTTATCCAGCAAGAGCTTATGTAGACATGAGAGTATTTAACAAAACACAAAGTCACTCACGCTTTTTCTTTTTTTTCTCTGAGACGGAGTTTTCTCTCTTGCTGGAGTGCAACGGTGTGATCTCAGTTCAATGCCACTCCGCCTTCAGGGTTCAAGTGGTTCTCCTGCCTCAGCCTCCCAAGTAGCTGGGATTACAGGCGTGCACCCCCACACCTGGCTCATTTGTGTGTTATTAGTAGAGACAGGGTTTCACCATGTTGGCCAGGCTGGTCTCAAACTCCTGACCTCAGGTGATCCCTCTGCCTCAGCCTCCCAAAGTGCTGGGATTACAGGCGCGAGCCCCTGCACCTGGCTGTCACTTACGTTTCTTCACACTGAGTTGTAGTTTCAGTAAATTCCATCCCTACTCTTAACACACTGCCATTGATGAAGCTCACGCTACATACCAGGTGGGTTCCAAAGCTACCTTTTTAAACTTAAGTTACAGAACATCCCTACTGTTATCTGTACTTCACAGCTTGGGAGACTGAAGTTCAGAGAGGTTGTGCGATTTGCCCGAGCAGCAATTCTAAGCACAAAGGAAGGAGCCTGGAGCTAGAATCAGGAGACCTGCATGTTAACCCTTGCTCTGCCACTTACTAGCTTCCAGCAAGCATCTGGATGAGGCTTAATTTCCCAGGATTTTTCCTGGGGAGAAAGCATTCTCCACCGTATCAGGCATCAGCATTCTCTCTGGCCAACTTACTTTTTGTTGTTGGTTTCAGTGTGGGTCCTGTGTGCATTTCCCAGATGTGCATAACACAACACCCTGTGAAGAGAAAAAAGAAAAACGCCATGAACCACCAAAAAAATAAAACCCTTTTGGGCTCAACCCGCAAAATTGCTTTTGGCTTGGCCTCACAGAAACAGGTTTGAAGTGGCTAGATGACAAACTCAGTGAAGGAACAAACATACACTATTTTGCATAAGCATATCAGTGACCATTCCTGATTCTTGGCACTTTGGGTTTTTTTTCATTTTGTCTGTCTTCTTTCTTCTTTCTTCTTCCTTCTTCCTTCTTCCTTCTTCCTTCTTCCTTCTTCCTTCTTCCTTCTCCTCCTCCTCCTCCTCCTCCTCCTTCTCCTTCTCTTCTCCTTTCTTCTTCTTCTTCCTGTTCTTCTTCTTCTTCTTCCTCTTCCTCTTGTTCCTCCTCCTCCTCCTCCCCCTCCTCCCCCTCCTCCTCCTCCTCCTCTTATCTTTCTTCTTCCTCTTCTTCTTCTTCTTCTTCTTTTTGATTAAATAGTTCCAGGCTAAGCACTGTAGTGCACACCTGTAATCCCAGCACTTCGAGAGGTCATTGGTGGGTAGATCACTTGAGCCCAGGAGTTCAACACCAGCATGGGCAATATGGCGAAACCCCATCTCTACAAAATATGCAAAAATGAGTTGGGCATGGTGGCACATGCCTGTAGCCCCAGCTACTCAGGAGGCTGAGTTGGGAAGATCACTTGAGATCAGCAGTTTTAGACAAGCCTGGGCAACACAGTAAGACTTTGTCAAAAAAAAATTTTTTTTTTAATTAGCCAGGTGGTAGTGACACCTTGTAACCCCAGCTACTCAGGAGGCTGAGGTGGGAGGATTGCTTGAGCCCAGGAGTTTGAGACTGCAGTGAGCCGACGTTGAGATCGTGCCAATGCACTCCAACCTAGGTGACCCTGTCTCTAAAAAAAAAAGTTCTGCCTAGGCGTGGTGGCTCACAGTTGTAATCCCAGCACTTTGGGAGGCCAAGGCGGGCAGATCACGAGGTCAGGATTTCAAGACCGGCCTGGCCAGCATGGTGAAACCCTGTCTCTATTAAAAATACATTGGGTGCAGTGGCTCACACCTGTAATCCCAGCACTTTGGGAGGCCAAGGCAGGTAGATCACTAGGTCAGGAGATCGAGATCATCCTGGCCAACATGGTAAAACCCTGTCTCTGCTAAAGAGATACAAAAATTAGCTGGGCGTGGTGGCACACTCCTATAGTCCCAGCTACTCGGGAGGCTGAGGCAGGAGAATCACTTGAACCTGGGAGGTGGAGGTTGCAGTGAGCCAACATTGCGCCACTGCACTGCAGCCCGGTGACAAAGCGAGACTCTGTCTCCAAAATAATAATAATAATAATAATAATGTTTCTTAGCCTCAAAAAAAAAAAATAAATAAAAATACAAAAATTAGCTGGGTGTGGTGGCACGTGCCTGTAATCCCAGCTACTCAGGAGGCTGAGGCAAGAGAATTGCTTGAATCAGGACCCAGGAGTCAGAGGTTGCAGTGAGCCGAGGTTGCACCACTGCACTCTAGCCTGGGCTACAGAGTGAGACTCCATCTCAAAAAAAAGAAAATTCTGGTTGATTTTCAAAAACATACATTGAAGCATGCATTCTCAAAAGGGGTGATACCTCCCCAAAAAGACCCAAACTTTGTTCTTGGTTCTCAAGGAAGAGATTATTATTATTTTTTTTAGACAGTCTCGCTCTGTCACCCAGGCTGGAGTGCAATGGTGGGATCTTGGCTCACTGAAACCTCCGCCTCCTAGGTTCAAGCAATTCTCCTGCCTCAGCCTCCTGAGTAGCTGGGACTACAGGCACGCACCACCACACCCAGCTAATCTTTGTATTTGTATTAGAGACAGGGTTTCATCATGTTCAGGATGATTTCGAACTCCTAACCTTGTGATCCACCTGCCTCGGCCTCTCACAGTGCTGGGATTACAGGCGTGAGCCATCATGCCTAGCCAGGAAGAGATTTTTTAAAACTTACTCTTTTATGTATAAGATACATATGAATATGCAGAAAATACATATATAGATATACGGTATTAAAATTTCATGAGAGGTTAGGGCAATTCATTTTCTTTTTTTTTTGAGACGGAGTTTCGCTCTTGTTAACCAAGCTGGAGTGCAATGGCGCAATCTCGGCTCACCGCAACCTCCGCCTCCTGGGTTCAGGCAATTCTCCTGCCTCAGCCTCCTGAGTAGCTGGGATTACAGGCACGTGCCACCACGCCCAGCTAATTTTTTGTATTTTTAGTAGAGACGGGGTTTCACCATGTTGACCAGGATAGTCTCGATCTCTTGACCTCATGATCCACCCACCTCGGCCTCCCAAAGTGCTGGGATTACAGGCGTGAGCCACCGCGCCCAGCCGGCAATTTATTTTTTAATGTTTAAAGGCAATGCAGCCCTGCAGCATTTAGGTCTCCTGCACCATCATCATCATCATTGCCATCATTATCACTGTCACCATCATCGTCTCCATCACCATCATCATCATCATCACCATCACCATCTTCTTCATCATCACCACCATCATCATCATTATCACTATTCCCATCATTACCATCACTGTCTTCATCATCACTATTGTCACCACCATCATCATTATCACTATTCCCATCATTACCATCACTGTCTTCATCATCACTATTGTCACCACCATCATCATTATCACTATTCCCATCATTACCATCACTGTCTTCATCATCACTATTGTCACCACCATCATCATTATCACTATTCCCATCATTACCATCACTGTCTTCATCATCACTATTGTCACCACCATCATCATTATCACTATTCCCATCATTACCATCACTGTCTTCATCATCACTATTGTCACCACCATCATCATTATCACTATTCCCATCATTACCATCACTGTCTTCATCATCACTATTGTCACCACCATCATCATTATCACTATTCCCATCATTACCATCACTGTCTTCATCATCACTATTGTCACCACCACCATCATTATCACTATTCCCATCACTACCATCACTGTCTTCATCATCACTATTGTCACCACCATCATCATTATCACTATTCCCATCATTACCATCACTGTCTTCATCATCACTATTGTCACCACCATCATCATTATCACTATTCCCATCATTACCATCACTGTCTTCATCATCACTATTGTCACCACCATCATCATCATCATCACCATCACCATCTTCTTCATCACCACCACCATCATCATCACTATTCCCATCATTACCATCACTGTCTTCATCATCACTATTGTCACCACCATCATCATTATCATCATCACCATTATTATCATTACTATCATCACAACTCTTTGCTAATTAACTTCAGGGCAGAATAAGGAATGTTAATGGTTAATACCATTGCCAACACCCCAAAATAGCCACTCTGCATTCCTACGTTTGACGTCCACAGGCCACCGATTTCTTCTAATGTAGCCTGCCAGTCAACAACTCCTACACACTCAAACTCCCGAATTCCACTTATTATTACTAACAAAAATTATTTTGCTCATTCATTAATTATTTTAGAGGCAATCAAACATACAGTTCAGGTATTCAAAGTCTGGAGTCAAAATGCTTGGTTTTAAAAATCTGGCTTCGCCACTTAATGACTGTGTGGCCTTGAGAAAGTTATATAATCTCTTTGTGCCTCAGTTTCCTCCTTGGTAAAATAGGGGAATCAGAAGTACTGTACAACAGCAGAAAAAACCCACACTTGCTACTTAGAAGATGTCCCCTGGCTAGGCGCAGTGGCTCGCGCCTGTAATCCCAGCACTTTGGGAGGCCGAGGCAAGTGGATCACATGAGGTCAGGAGTTCAAGACCATCCAGCCTCATCAACATGGTGAAACCCCAACTCAACTACAAATACAAAAATTAGCCAGATGTGCTGGTATGCACCTGTAATCCCAGCTACTCGGGAGGCTGAGGCAGGAGAATCGCTTGAACCCAGGAGGCAGAGGTTGCAGTGAGCTGAGATCGTGCCACTGCACTCCAGCCTGGCAACAGAGTGAGATAACATCTGAAAAAAAAAAAAGAAAAAGAAGAAGATGTCCCCCTATATCCTCCATTCTTAAATTTGATCCAGTGACCAAAACACACAAGACATAGAAGAAAAAACAGTAACATGGAAGGTAAACAAAGCTGAGACAAAATGACACCTGAAGAAAGAGAAATAAGAGCAGACAGGACAGGTCTATCTCATTGTTCAGGACTCAGCGCAAATTGCCCCTCCTCAACCCCAGACTTCTCCCTTCCACATAACCCCCAACCACATTCTAGACAACTTCTTTCATAACACTTATCACTACCTAGAATTCCACCATTTACTTATTATTTGGGGAAACATAGTGCAGTAAAAAAGCTTACAAACTCTGAAATCAGACTGCCTGGGTTGAAATCCTGGCTCTACGTCTTATTGACTAAGTGGTCTTGGGAAAATTATTTTATCTCGTTTGCCTCAGTTTTCGTCTTTGCAAAATAGAATTAATAATGACCCAATGTCATAGAAATGCTCTATGTTTAGAACATTTGACAATTGGATATGTTCTATGTTTAAAGAAGTTACAACAGTGTTTAGTGGGCTATGACTGTCCGTCCCTTCTTTCCTGTCTTCTCCTACCCATGAGAATATCAACCTCTGCAGGAACAGTCTTTTTCTTCCTCACTGCTATAACTTCTGGTGCCTAGAACAGCACTTGATAGCAGGATGTGCTCAGGAAACACAGGTCAAATGAATGACTATAAAGAAAATCTGTCCTGAAAGATGGACTCCCCTGAGCTATGGAGTTTTGTCGAAGGTTCCTGGAATAAAGGTGTTTGCAGCAGCCAGCCTAGAATTATGACCTCTTTCTTGTCTGGATCATTCATGGCTGTCCCTTTTCTCTGAAGCCTGTTTCCAACCCAGGCCTCCCCAGCCCCCCTTCAGCCTCACACTCACCCCAGAAGAGGAGCAGGTTGAAGCCATGCATTATGCTGTGGTTCTGTCATTCAAAGAGAAGCAGCTTTTCTACTGACCACGGGTTTTCAGTAACAGAAGGTGTAGGAAGAGGGGAAGGCGGGGCCAGAGTTGCTCAATTCTGCCGGGACATCAGAGCACCTTTGGCTGAGTTGCTGCCACTAAAAGACAGCCTAGAAAATCTTCATTTCCCCGTTTCTCCACAATAAAGAGAGCTTAATCTGCCTGATTTGTACTATTTTCTCCCTCTCCTTCCCATTCTTTCTCTCTTTCCCACCAGTCTATCTCCCAGTTCTCAACACCTTCTTTCATTGCACCCAATAAACAAGCTTCCATCTCCCGCCTCCAGTGAAGCAAATCTCAGCCTTTAGGGTCTCTTTTCAGTCTCCCCTTATAAAAACCGCCATCACAATCACAGGTACCAGGCACTGTGCTAGTCACACCGCCAACATAATGCAATTTCAGTATCATGTCAACCTTGTAAAGTAGGAATTCCCCTCCCTCCCTCCGTTCACCAACAAAATGGAAACTTAGGCTTGCAGAGGACTTGTCACTTGTCCAAGATCTCTCAGACCTGAGATTTGAACCCAGGACCCTCTGACTCCAAAGTCGAGAGCTTTAATCATCTTATTTCCCTTCAGATCGCCCTCTATCTGACCACTCGACAGCAACACTTCCACCCTATTCCCAGCTTCCTAACTCTCTCTGATAACTGGTAACATCTCAGGGTCTCACAAGTGCAGACCCTCAGACAAGGATTCTAGCAAAAGTCGTTTATTAAGAAGGTGACCCCAGAATACACCAGCTGGCGAGGGAGAACATGAAACAGGAAAAGCAAAGAGCCAATTCTGGGTGTGTCTTCAAACAAGTTCCATGGTGAGAAAGTGGAGCTTAACCTCCCCGGGGACATCTGGGGAGCAGCATGGAACATACTCTTCAGTTATTCCACCTGAGGGGTAGGGGAGCTGAGGTATTTATACCCCACCTACTGTCAGTCATTAGTTGACTGGAGGCTTGCTCCCAGGGGGCATCAACCACTTGAAACTTCAGGCCTGGCCTCCAAGCAGATAGAATGGGCTCCAGTTGGTATAATCCCTCTGATAACAAAACGTAGTGCCTGGCAGATGTTGAAGTGTTGTCATTCAGCTGGGGTAATACCCAAGGTTCATTGCCTCGTGGCAAGGAAATAAAAAATGCAGACATACAAGGAATAAGTTTTCGAGCAGAGGTTTAGGATGGGTGCAGTGGCTGTGCCTGTAATCCCAGTACTTTGGGAGGCCGAGATGGGTGGATCGCCTGAGATCAGGAGTTTGAGACTAGCCTGGCCAACATGGGGAAAGCCCATCTCTACTAAAAAAAAAAAAACAAAAATTAGCTGGGCATGGTGGCAGGTGCCTGTAATTCCAGCTACTTGGGAGGCTGAGGCAGAAGAATTGCTTGAACCTGGGAAGCAGAGGTTGCACTGAGCTGAGATTGTGCCACTGCACTCCAGCCTGAGCAACAGAGTGAGACTCCATTTCAGGAAAGAAAAAAAAAAAAAAAAAAGAAGCAGATTGGCAAGAGCGCTCTCCCTTGCAGAGAGAGAGGGCTGCCAAATGGATCTTCCAGTTCTATGGTGAAATGCATGGGGTTTTATAGATGAGCTTTAGGTGGTGGTATCTGATTTACATAAGGCCCAACGATTGGTTCAACCAAGCGTGCCATTTACATACATTGCAAAGAGGCTGGCTGCCCACTCTAATATTTTATTATGCAGATGGGGTCTCTACCTGGCCAGGGCCATGTTGCCTGTTCCTTTACTGCACACGTGGTTGACAAAGAAAAGGGCAGATGGAGCCCCCATGTTGAACATGGCTGGCTCCCGGTAGCCTTTTCCTATTGGCATAGCTGCTGGCATTCACCCGTGCAAGCTTCCAGCTTGTTTTTTTACATCTGCAGCCTGACTTTTCAGGCTGCTCTTTGCTAGAAAAGAAATGATTTGGGGGCTGCTTCTTATTAAAAGAGCAACCTTACCGAGGACCCTCTTGCCCTCACTCTCTGCCTAAATAATTTCTTCCTGGTTTCTGTATCAGTGTCAAGCTAGGGCATATAAATGTGTTAAGTTAGGTCATGGGTGTGGGCAGCCACTGATAGCATCTGCTACAAGCTGCAAAGGAGGTTCAAAGAACATCCCCCAGTTCTTAGAAAAGTTCTACGTGTTTCTGCCTTCCCCTTTTCTTTTTTTTTTTTTTTTTTTTTTGCGACGGAGTTTCGCTCTTGTTACCCAGGCTGGAGTGCAATGGCGCGTCTCAGCTCACCGCAACCTCCGCCTCCTGGGTTCAGGCAATTCTCCTGCCTCAGCCTCCCGAGTAGCTGGGATTACAGGCACGCGCCACCATGCCCAGCTAAGTTTTTTGTATTTTTAGTAGAGACGGGGTTTCACCATGTTGACCAGGTTGGTCTCGACCTCTTTACCTCGTGATCCACCCGCCTCGGCCTCCCAAAGTGCTGGGATTATAGGCGTTGAGCCACCGTGCCTTCCCCTTTTCTTCTTTGCAAAGCAAACTACCAACTTTGGAGTTATTGTCACTGAAAAAAAGATTCAGGTGGCTCACTCCTGTAATCCCAGCACATTGGGAGGCTGAGGCAGGCAGATCACCTGAGGTCGGGAGTTCAAGACCAGCCTGACCAACATGAAGAAACCCCATCTCTACTAAAAATACAAAATTAGCCAGGCATGGTGGCACGTGCCCGTAATCCCAGCTACTAGGGAGGCTGAAGCAAAAGAATTGCTTGAACCCAGGAGGCAGAGTTTGCAGTGAGCCAAGATTGTGCTACTGAACTCCACCCTGGGCAACAAGAGTGAAACTCTGTCTCAAAAAAAAAAAAAAGATTCACAAATGGCTTTCTTTTTTCTTTTTCTTTTTCTTTTTTTTGAGATGGAGTCTCACTCTGTTGCCCAGGCTGGAGTGCAGTGGCACAATCTCGGCTCACTGCAACTTCTGCCTCCCAAATAGTAGCTGGGATTACAGGTGTGCATACCATGCTCTAGCTAATTTTTGTACTTTTAGTAGCGACAGGGTTTCGCCATGTTGGCCAGGCTGGTCCGGAATGCCCAGCCTCAGGTGATCCTCCTGCCTTGGCCTCCCAAAGCATTGGGATTACGGGCATGAGCCACCATGTCCAGCCAGATTCATCAATGGCTTTCTCTTTGTGCCTCCATTCTTTCCCCGCTGGCCCCAAGAATACCAGCTGGTGATGCTTGTGGCTGCAGCATTTACCCTGAGATAATGTTGCCATGAAATAAATATCTCGCCTTTATTATTATTTTTTACATTGCTCTAGTATATCGACTTCGAAAACAAAAGAAGACATCATTCTACTTACAATGTTCTGTTTTCAGTACGGATCTTTCCAGATTACTATATTTTACAAATATGCTGTTTTTAATATATACTACAGTATATTTGACAAAATATAGTAATTCTTGATTGCTGAAAATGTCAGATCCTAGAAAACGTAACTTTCCTACGTGTGATGTTAACATCGTGCTCAACAGCTGTTGGCTGAAGATTTATTTGATAAATTCAATTTCCCAAAATAGACGATTGTGGGCCAGGCATGGTGGCTCATGTCTGTAATCCCAGCACTTTGGGAGGCCAAGGCGGGCAGATCACAAGGTCAGGAGATTGAGATCATCCTGACCCAACATGGTGAAACCCCATCTCTACTAAAAATACAAAACGTAGCCGGGTATTGGGGTGGGTTCCTGTAATCCCAGCTACTCAGGAGACTCACGCAGGAGAATCACTCGAACCCAGGAGGTGGATGTTGCAGTGAGCCTAGGCTGACCCATTGCGCTCAGCTTGGGTGACAGAGCAAGACTCCATCTCAAAAAAAAAAAATTCTTTTTTGAATTGACAAATTAAATTGCAGATATTTATGGGGTACAACATGATGTTTTGAGATATGTATAGACAGTGGAATGGCTAAACTGAGGCAATAAACCTATCTATTCCTTTGCATGCAATTATTATTTTTTGTGGTAAGAATAGTTACATCAACCCTCTTAGCAGTTTTCAAGGATATGCTACATCATTCATTGTTACTAACTACAGTAACCATGTTGTACAATACATCTCTTAAATATTTTTCTCCTGTTCAACTGAAATTTTGTATCCTCTGACCAAGTCTCCCCACCCACATCTTCCCCATATGCTTCTGATCATAGGATGCTGAGACCCTACACTCAACATCCTATGAGGTCTCATAAGACGAGTATCTCATAGGTCTCAGACATTCAAATATCCACCTGGAGACTCACAAAGATTGTTAAGAAAATGGTTTCCCCTGGTGCAGTGGCTCACGCCTATAATCCCAGCACTTTGGGAGGCCAAGGCGGGGAGATTACCTGAGGTCGGGAGTTCAAGACCAGCCTGACCAACATGGTGAAACCCTGTCTCTATTAAAAAAACAAAAATTAGCAAAGCATGGTTGTGGGCGCCTGTAATCCCAGCTACTCTGAAGGATGAGGCAGGAAGATCACTTGAACCCAGAATGCAGAAGTTGCAATAAGCGGAGATTGTGCCAGTGCACTCCAGTCTGGGCCACAGAGGCAGACTCCATCTCCAAAAAAAAAAAGAAAAGAGAGAGAGAGAAAGAGAAGAAAGAAAGAAAGAAAGAAAGAAAGAAAGAAAGAAAGAAAGAAAGAAAGAAAGAAAGAAAGAAAGAAGGAAAGAAAGAAAGAAAGAAAGAAGAAAGAAGAAAGAGAGAGAATGAAGGAAAGAAAGAGAGAAGGAAAGAAAAGGGTTTCCTGGAGAAGTGTTTGCTCTGCAGAGACCACAGATGGAGCTCTCCTTTCCCATCGCCTGGAAATATTGGTCCTTGCTCTCCTCCTCTCCCAATAATTCCCTTTCAGGTCATGTTAGCTACTAGAAACGACTGTCAGAGATTTGCACTTTCTCCTATAATCCTTGTTCAATGTATCCAGGAGTATAGGCTCTAGAGGCAGGTAGACTAACATGGTGATTTTAACATATGTCCATAAAATTTTTAATACTCTCCAAGTGGTAGAGACTAATCCCTCTCTCCTTGAACATGGACTTAGTGACTTGCTTCTCTTTTTTTTAAGGCAGGATCTTGCTCTTTTGCCCAGGCTGGAGTACAGTGGCGGGTGGCATGATCATAGCTCACTGTAGCCTCCAAGTCCTGGGCTCAAGCGATCCTCCTACATCAGCCTCCCGAGTAGCTGGGACTATAGGCATGCGCCACCACATCCAGCTAATTGTTTGTTTGTTTGTTTGTTTGCAGAGCTGGCATCTTGCTATGTTGCCCAGGCTGGTCTTGAACTCCTGGGCCCAAGTTGTCCTCCTGTCTCAGCCTCCCAAAGTGCTGGGATTACAGGCATGAGACACTATGCCCAGTGTGACTTGCTTCAGCTGATCAGAAAATGGAGCATGTGACAGTTTGTGACTAGGTCGTACGTGTTATTGTGGCTTCCTCCTTGCTCTCTCTTTCCAGGATCATGCCCTGGGGAGAAGCCAGTCGCCATATTGTAAGGACACTCAAGCAGTGCTGTGAAGGAGCTGAGCCTCCCAACAGCCATGTGAGTGAGCTACCTTGGAAGCAACTCTTCCCACCCCAGTGGAACTTTCAGATGATCCAGCCCTGGTCAATGGCTTGACTACAACCTCATGCAAGAGCTTGAGCCAGAACAATGCAGCTAAGCCACCCCCAGACTTCTGACCCTCAGAAACTTTAAGAAACTAAAAGTTCTCTATTATAAGCTGCTACGTTTTGGAGTAATTTGATATACAGCAAGAGATAACCAATACACCTAAGAAGCAGTTTTCACCATTAATAAAAAGAGAGTAATAATGTGTCTAACCTCATAGGTTTGAGGGTTAAGTTGATACAATAATAAAACCCTGCCTGGCACAGATTAAATGCTTAAGTTCGATTAGTTATGATTGGCATTCTTATCATTCCATCATGCTAAATGGTCACAGTTACTCACAGAAAAAATCCTGATACCACCAAAATTGAACTGCAGAAGCCAGCAACGTTCCTGTCAGGCAGAACCTTGCAACGTGGGTGAAAGAGTTTAGGCTTTATCCTCAGGGCAAGGGAGCCACGGGCTCAGGCTGGAATTTTACACAGGTGGGTATTGGACAGGGGGGCTCACAGGTGGGCAGACAGGGAGGAGGCTGGGGATATAGCCAGGAGAGAGAAGAGGGCAGTGGTCTGGTCCGGGGCAGGGGCTGCAATGACGGAGAAAATTTTATGAGGCAGGAACAACCGAATCTGGGGAGTGTCCGGATGTAGCAGGAGTTTGAGACAGAAGAAGGAGTTGAAATTTGGAGGCTGGGCTAAAGAGTTGGAAGGTTTTGCAATCAAGCCCAGATGCCTCCTGCGGATGGAGACGGGATGAAGCTTACGGAAAACACAGATTTAATATATGATGGGTCTGGAGGTCAGAGTCCTCCCCAGTCTTATGGGACTAAAACCAAGATGCCAGCAGGGCTGCATTTCTTCTGGAGCTCCAGGGCAGAATCCACTGCTTGTCCTTTCTGGCTTCTGGAGGCAGCCCGCACGCCCTGGCGCATGTTCCCTTCCTTCCTATGCAGAGCCAGCAGCTAGCAGATTCACATGTCACTTGCACACTCTAAATCCCTCGGTCTTGCTCTCTGTCTCTCCTTTCCCTCCTTCTTGTTCTTCCATTCTCTCTCTCTCTCTTTTTCTCTGTCTCTCTTCTAGTTCTCTCTCTTGCCCATTCTCTCATTTTCTCTCCCTCTGGCTCTGTCATTCTCTCTTTTTTCTTATATTTATTTATTTAAGACACAGTCTGTCACCCAGGCTGGAGTGCATGGTGCAATCTCAGCTCACTGCAACCTCCGCCTCTTGGGT